TAAAGGTTCCAGATTTTTGCAAATTAAGTTACATAGATAAGATATTTGCATGTTTATATGTTGTTTAAAATGCGTTTAGGTGATGTAATTTAACATCAGTTTTTGCATTATGAATGGTAGGGTATAATTTGAACCCAGAATCGGTAAAAAATTTAGTGGGCCTAAAAGCCTCCTTGTTTCACTCATGCTTACGCTCAAAATCTGTGGTCTGTCCTCAATACTGTGACACCTGAGCTAAAACTGTGATCATTATAAGACACGGTAACTATTTTCACAGAAACCAGAGGTTCTAAGAAGATGTCACTAAAAGCTCAAGATGTCAGCAAAAGAAAACTGTCATCAGCAACATCGAAGGAAGAAATCCTCAGTTTTCTGCAGGAGGTCCAAACTGGTTCGTTTAAAACATTAGAAGAGAGCTCAAGTCTTCAGAGTCTGGAGGAGATTTATGAGGATGACACAAGCTCAGAGGTTGGTGTTTATTAGTATAAATATTAGTTTTGCACTAACTATTTTGTAATTGAGGGACATGAATGTCTTACAAAAGGGAGCAGAGGGTGATATGTGTGTGTGTGCATGCACACTTTGTTGATGTCCATTTAATATCACTAAAAGCAAATGCACTGTCTTGCTGTATGAGAATTATTGCATGGCACACAGCTATTGTACTAGTATATTACTCAAAGGTTTTGTAAAACTGCATGAATGTTAATTAGGGGAATTGAAGTAAAAAAATACTTAGGTCACCCATCCTGGCATAAAATATTTTGGCAAAATGCTTCAAATATTTTTATATGGGTAAGGAAAATATATTTCCCTGATTTCATTGATTTAGTTCAGAATTTTGATTGAACTAAAATTTTTCAAGGATAAGACCATGCAGATAGTTTGAACAATTCATTGAATTACCATACCAAATAACCAAAAAATAGCAAAACTAATTCTAATCCTTACAACCATCTTAATTGGCACATCTACACCTTTCTTGCTTGCTTTTTTGAAATGGCATGTTTTAGTGCACCCTATAAAAGAACAACTAACCATTGCACCCTCTCTTCCCTCTCCTCCTCTCTCAGGCATGCACTAGAGGTAGGCACGAGCCAAGCAGGCAAAAGAACCGCCTCAGCATCGTAAGCATGACTAGTGTTGACAGCGGGGTTACTGAGGGGGTGCAGGACTCTGCAGACACAGCCAAGGTACAGCATTATGGTCCAGGGATGGATCTTGGGATATTTTTGTGATTTTTCCATTTTTGTGATCAAAATCATTATGCATCTTAGAACAATATAAAGGGAAAGTCTAGTCACAATTATTTTTAGATATTATCAATGTAATCAATAAAGTGGCCTTATTTTGGCTGCAAGTTGAGAACTGTGCAGACATGGCCAATCTGAGAGTTGCTTGACACAAAAAGTAAACAAATTTATAATTTACCACATGATCACAACACTTCAATTCAGCGTAAAATATTAAGAATTTCAGCTTAAAATGTTAATTTTGTAAGAGACATTATTATTATTTTTGTTGTTATTGGATTTTTTAATTAATTTATTTGTTACAGCATAAGACATGAAAATATTTACTTTTTAAGCAATTTTTTCTGTCTATCTCACAGGATACCCCAAAGGGAGCAGAAGTGGAGAGGGTGGACAGTGGGGTGGGATCTGAGACCAAAGCAGGAATGAAAAAGAAAAGCAAGGTATATGCGGTATAGGCACAAAGTTGTATGAAATAGTCATATATGTAGCATGCAGCTGCTATTGCAATGTACAATTTTACCATTGATACCATGCAATGCCTTACTTTTACATGTAAAAGTTTTTTGTAAACAGTAAAGATGATTTATTTTGGCTGAAAAAAAAACACTATTGAGGTTTGCCATTCTGACTCTCAGGATTTGTCCACAATTCTCTGAAATTATGTGTTTATAACAAAACTAATCAGAGACACAAAGACATTGATACATGAAGTGTTAATGTTCTATTAGGGCCCAGTCTGTGAGGATTGCAACAAAACCATCAGTGTGTTGGACCTGGAGGATTGTGTAGAAACACTGTGCACGAAGTGTCATTCACGTAGAGTGGAGAGGAAGGAAACCATTCAGGAGCTGGTGGACACAGAGCTCAGCTATGGCAGAGATCTGCGCATCATCAAGGAGGTAGGTTAGACTGATTGTATTAGGTAATGTTGGGTGAGTGGTGGTGATTGTGTTGGGTGAGGCTGAATCAGTTGTGATGATTGCGTTAGGTGAGGTTGGGTCAGTGGTGCTGATTGTGCTAGGTGTGTCTGGGTCATTGGTGATTGTGTTGCGTGAGGCTGGATCAGTGAAAAATCTTCCAAGAGCCAAGCACACACTATTGTTATTTACCCCTTTACTGGTTGAGGAGATGTGTCAGACAATTAAGTTGATTACACTGACTATACCTTTAAGTAAGAGTTGGATCGATCCAGGTAGCACGACAAGTTGTGTGCTTGATTTGGAAGTTGACCTTAAACTCCAAACCTTATAAACTCAGACAATTAACAGTCAGAATATTTTATCTTCAGGACATATGGAATTATGTATGGTACAATTGTAGTTTAACTTTTCATTCAGTGTCTGGTGTCTGTTTTCTGCTAGGAATTTATGGCTCCAATGGAAACAGCATCTTTGCTGACTCCTGAACAGTTAGACACTATCTTCATCAATCTACAAGAGTTGATTGACATCAATGACAAATTTGCAGACAAACTGCAGGATCTCGTTGAATTGGCCAATGAACAGGGAGATGAGGTGAGTGAACTTGGAACTTTCACTAATATCACTGGAATATCATTTAATATACATGAGCATTGACCATTTGATCATTTATATTGTTAAAGATACTCAAAATAGGATCACAGGATCAGTGAAGTTTATAAAATTATTACATACCTGGTTTAATTTCTTATTCTCTAGGACTATGTCACAGTATATATAGGACAACTTTTCCTGGAATCCTCCAACATGTTCCTGGCTTTTGAGAACTACTGTGTGAAACAGGTAGGACAAGGGAGAAATATATGGAATATTATTGATGGCCTGGAATAGCTGCCAAGTAGAAAAAATTGCTGCAAAGACTGTACATTTGTGAATACAATACTCAAATCTTGTACTAAAACAGAACTAGTGATACAGTAATACAGTATTGTAATTGCTGTCATTTTTGTTTGCCAAAATACGACACAACTTTCTATCAGCACCATAAACATTTCAGAGTCATTGACAAGGGGTTTTTATACTGTCAATGGTGATGTTGTGTTATGTGAGGCTGAGTAAGAAGTCTTGATTGTGTTATGTGAGGCTGGGTGAGAAGTCTAGATTGTGTTATGTGAGGCTGGGTGAGAAGTCTTGATTGTGTTATGTGAGGCTGGGTGAGAAGTCTAGATTGTGTTAGAAGAATCTGGGTGAGAAGTCTTGATTGTGTAAAGTGAGACTGGGTCAATGGTGATTATTGTTATTTGAAGGTAAGTTCAGTTTTATATACTTTGTATTTTTACAGGCAGCAGCTCCACTTCTGTTGGAACAACTGGAGAAGGAGAAAGAGCTACTGCGGATATTCCTACATGTGTCTCAAACAGAAAACTCCTTGCTCAGGAGAATGAATCTCAAGTCTTTTCTCATGGTGCCTGTACAGAGAATCATGAAGTAAGTTCCATATGTTGACACAAAAATAAAAGCAAATTTTAATATAAAATGTGACAAATGTTGGTGTGGTTGGTAAATGTATGTTATTAAGAAAGCAGTACTTTTAGTTATTTTGGCAGTTTAAAGCTTACACGCAGAAAGCTTTTATTTTAAACCTGGTATGCTATGTTTTTATTTTCCAGGTACCCTCTGCTCCTTGGGAGGTTACACAAGTCCACATCTAGTCATCACGAAGACAGGGAAGCAATAAAAGAAGCTCAATGTAGAGTAGAAGAAATCCTGGATCATATCAATGCAGTTAGTTTTTTTTTTTTTTTTTTTTTTTTTGTAATTTATTAGAAAAAAAAATATTTAGCTTGGTTTTCCATAAGTTCAGTGATTCAGTTCCAATAGGATGAGCAGTACTTATTTATAGTGATCTATTTTTAAAAACTTTATTTGAAATTGCGGTGATAGAAGGAAATGTTTTATAAAAATGTTTGAGAAGTGTTAACTGCATGCATGTTAATTTGATAATTTATCCCTCCAGAAAACCAAAGCCTCAGCCACTGGTCTCAGATTACGGAGAAAAGGATCAGGCTCCAAGAAGAGCATAGGTACTGACAATATAGAACTAAACAAGGTGAGTTGTTTCTTACCACTTGATATTTATAATTATATTGAGAAAAAAATGCAATTAGTAGTGTTCCATGCAAATTATTACTAAATAGCATGGTAATTTATATGCCTAGCAAATTTGAATGTAAGATGCAGTAAGTCTTATTGTTTTGTATTTTATAAATATCTTGAATGTTGACTTATCAGGTTGCCTTGGAAACGCTATGTTGGACCAGGAATGAGGTAAAAATAATTACTGCTGGAAAGCTACAGTATGCACAGCCTGCTGACTCTACCTGGCCCAGGAAGTACAAGAATCTCAAGTTTGCACCTATTTTTGGTGTTTTGGCCACACTTGGAAATGTAAGTATACAAAAGTGTTGTAATAAAATATTTCAGTTGCTTTAAAATAACTAAACTAGAATAATATATACTTTATAGTTTTCCCTATATGTCTTGTGTATAAAAGAATTTATTTGACAAAAAAAAAAAAAAAGAAAGGATAAGAATAATTTTGATCAAATGTTTCAATTGTTTAAAACATGCTTAGGTATTTGTGTAAACACTGGAGGCAATGTACTCCCCGACATAATTATGTTTCCTTGAATATAAAGTAATTTTAGATCAGTAAAATGTTTCTGTTCCTCAATATGCCATCTTCTCTCCTTCCAGCCCAAGCCTTACAACACACTGGATGAAGTGATGCTGTTTCCCAGACCACATACAGTCCCACAGCAGGCGGCGCTTGTGATTATACGGGAGAAAGGAGGACGCTTTCAAAGTATTAGGGTATGGACATGTTTGTTAATAACATGCATTTTTTTATGTCAGTGTTATTTTACTTAATGTTTATTCTCAATTTTCATACATGGTTTTAATATTATAGTACTTTCTTGAAAATTCTGGAGATGGCACACATCAGTTTTCAGTAATTTCAGCAGATTTGGAAATGATGCAAGCAGAAGCTTTGCTGATGTCCTTTGTTTGAAATTAGTTATGTCATTAATGTTTATTAAGCACAAAATTGCATATTTTAATATTGGTCCCTTTTTCATTTTATCTTAAGGAACCTATGTATCTAGACAAGTGTGTAGTTGCCATAGACCCAGAACTGCCAGAGGTCTTTGAGATCCATGAGATGGCAAAAGATGTCTTTCTCTTTAAGGTAAGATATTGACATTTTATTTATTGGCCAAAACATTGTTTGATGTTCAACAAATATGCTTTTTTCAAATTTAAATGTGATAAATAATAACTACTTAAATAGTGTCTTAACAGTGCAGATCAAATATGGCAGACCTACTTGTAAGCAAGGCCACCTAATCCCTTGACGGTCTCCCCACCTCCACATCCGCCGTTCCTGCAAGGGCCTATAGCAATTTAGCCTCGGAGCTGAGATTTAATCCATATGGAGGCAGGGATAGAATTTTAGGGTTAGGCGGTATTGCTTTCAAGTGGGGTCGGCCATATCTAGTCCACAAATCAGTTATTCTGCAGATAATCTGTTCTGAATGTGAACTAAGATACATGTATTCTGCCCTTGTTTTACAGGCTGAAGACCCCAAAGACACCTTATTGTGGTACCGCCACTTGAAGTATTTAAGTCTCGGTCAAGGAACCTGGAGACATAGAAGAAATGGACTTGCCAATATCATGATAAAAAATAAACCAAAACCAGTTTAAAATTTTGCAAATCCCATAACATAATTATTATTGTGAAAAGTGTTCTCTTGTGCTGCTTTAGAATTATACAACATAGTATTGACTATATTAGGAGATAAGTGATCTTTACTTCATTTAAGATGATATTTCACAGACTATGAAAACCTTCCTTCTAAGGGAAATACCAGAGAAGTTCTTTGCTTGGCAAATGTGATAAAAAGACAATCAGAACTATTGCCTGGACCGTTTATTTTACACAAGATTTTCTCAGTGATGTTGTTGTTCTGAAAATAGAGTTGTGGGCGTTCAAGGTTGTGTCATACTGCATTGGACAATGTGAAAATGGTGCCATGTGTATCACATGGCTCTGTACTTCTGGTGGGTCCAGTGTTTTGCTAAAGGGGGGGGGGGGCACAAGGATAAAATGTTTTGTTTTGTTTTCTTTTTTTCAACCTCCTGGAATTGGCAAAGGCAATTAGGGCACAGAGATGGAAAATTATTTGATTTTATCTTGTTTTTCTTAATTGTTGCGCTATTTTGGGAAGGGAAAAAGAGGGTACATGTTGCTTAGGGGAGGTGGATACAGGACCCACTGCTCCTCCTTTGGATAAACTAGCATGAAATAGTATATTTACATATATGCCATATTGCACCATAGTGAAAACTATATATTCTGTGGTATGCATATGTACAGTCAGTATATTTATATGTGCTCTTGTCCACAATGGAATGAAGATGTGGGAATGAGTGGTTAATCAATTTTTAATGAAAATATTTTTCTTTTAGAAGGATGTATTTATTTATTATTTTAAAAGTGGTTCCGTCCATTTTAATTTCTACATGTGTTATTTATGTAATCATGCTGATAATAATATATACCAGTGAAGTATATACATGTGTTGATATTTTCTTTAAATTAAGTCATAATAATAAACGCTACTCAGATTGGTATATATAAGATACAAATAAAATAATTGATAATGGACTGATGAGTTTATTGCTTCAAAAAACTGATTTTAAGCCCTTGTTTCGATTCTACTAATACAGGTGCAATATGTACTGTTGAAAATGTACAGATAAACAATATAGACACAATAAGTTGACTATGAACTACAATACAATAACATTAAAATATAATACAATAGCATTAAAACAAGATTTTGCTCATTTGCAACTGTTTCTCTTCAATGACTGAATACAGTACAGATCACCTAGGTGATAACCGTCTGCCAAGGCCACAGATTTTCTATCTGAAGGCTACTAGAACAAAATTTGGTCAGAATAATACATTTACTTCTATCATATATGTTAGTAGCCATCTTAATAGTTTTCTTTATTGAATTTAGTTTTAAATTGGCACTACAAAAACTTTCAATTTAGCATTTACGTTTAATGTGACACTGCAAAATTTGTAAAACTTAAAAAATAAATTATGACCTGGTCAAATAAAAGCCTGTACATATTACAACTGTAAGCTACACTGTTCAAATAAGTCAAAGACGTAGTTAGTACTTGAAAACTACATGCCGATCTTTTTTCAAATCATTTTTACTCTATCATGAAATACGCATAAACTACATTTGACTAAGCAAATGCATTTTTAAACAAAGCAACAGGATATGGTTGCTCTCTTACAGGAGCGTAATCCTCAATTTCCTTTTTAACCAATTCCTGTTTGACCCCATTTCTATCCTGGCAGACAATATTTGTACCATGACAGATTTCTGTATCATACTGTCCACTGGCATGTTCTCCTGAAACAGACGTCACATCATTGTGATCTTTTTCATGTAGATCGAATTCATTTCTGCTGACAAACGCCTTGTAGCACAACTTACACTTGTATGGTTTCTTTTCACAGTGAAAAACTTCATGATTTACACAATTATTCATTATAGATAATTTGTCAGCGTGAATACTTTCATGTTGAATGAAATACTGTTCTCTTACAAATGTCTTATTACAATATTGGCATTTATATGGTTTTTCATCAGTGTGAATCTTTTCATGATCAACACAATCACTGTTCACAGAAAATTTCTTATGGCAGTATTGACATTTGTAAAGTTTCTTTACAGTGTGACTTTTTTCATGTTGAACGCACTTTTGTTTTTTATTAAATGCCTTATTACAATGCTTGCATTTGTAAGTTTTTTCTCCCAAGTGAATTTTTTCATGAACATTGCAGTAATCTTTTCGGGTAAATTTCTTGTCGCAGAACTTACATTTGTAGAGATTCTCTCCAGTGTGACTTTTTTCATGAACAATGCAACTGTATTTTCTGTTATATGTCTTATTACAATACTGGCATTTGTATGGTTTCTCTCCAGTGTGAATCCTTTCATGAATGACACAATTGCATTGTTGCGTAAACTTCTTATCACAATATTGGCATTTGTATGGTTTCTCTCCGGTGTGACTTTTTTCATGAACAATGCAATTGTGTTTTCTATTAAATGCCTTATCACAGTGTTGGCATTTGTATGGTTTCCCTCCAGTGTGAATCCTTTCATGAATGACACAATCCCATTGTTGAGTAAACTTCTGATCACAATATTGGCATTCGTATGGTTTCTCTCCAGTGTGAACTCTTTCATGAACAATACAATTCTGTTTTATGATAAATGCCTTATTACAGTACTGGCATTCATATGGTTTCTCTCCAGTGTGAATTTTTTCATGAACACTGCAGTGATCTTTTCGAATAAATGTCTTATCACAGTACTGGCATTTGTATGTTTTCTCTCCAGTGTGAATTCTTTCATGACGAATGTAATCCCGTTGCTGAATAAATTTCTTATCACAGAACTGGCATTTGAAGGGTTTCTCTTCTGAGTGATTTTTTTCATGAACATTGCAATTGCATTTTTTACTAAATGCCTTATTACAATACTGGCATTTGTATGGTTTCTCTCCAGTGTGAATTCTTTCATGATTGACAAAATCGCATGGTTTAGCAAATGCCTTGTCACAATACTGGCATTTGTAAGGTTTCTCTCCAGTGTGAATTCTTTCATGAACAATGCAATTTTGTTTTATGTTAAATGCCTTACCACAGTACTGGCATTTGAATTCTTTCATGATTTTAACAATTCCAACCAATAAATTAACTAGGTAATTATTTGTTACCTTTGATTGACGGATATATGAGTTCTTCCATGGTTATCACTACTAGTACTTTTTCCTTTCCAGTATTAAACTGTTTCACAGCATGGGCATTTTTCATCTTTGTGAACTTCTTCATGATGTGAGAACACAATTTTACTACACATATGGCCTCAGAACATCAATGTGTGAACTAATTCATTCATGAACAACACTATAAATATAATTTTATCACAACACTAACACTTATGTTGGTTGTTGATCTCTATTGCATATTTTTTTCTGTCTGACAAAATCTTCTTCTTGAAGTAAATATCTCACCACTGTCCTGATGTTCTTTGCTTTCCAAATGCTCCGTACGTGAACGAAATAACTTTGTTGCTTTTTTATCAATTGATCTATCACTGTGCAGGCATGGTTTCACCCCTTGGGCACTACTATGTAAATATCTTCTGTCAGATGGCTTGCATTGCAGGTCCACCTTACATTTTAGAAGCAAAAAGACTCAGATTACTTAGTGCTTATTTGGATGTGACCCCAAGACAACAATGACGCTCATCCAAGACCCAAAGCTGGATTTCACACAAAAGTTGAGCTCATAAATTGATGACGTCATTACGCAGGTGTGCTGTATTTGTTTATAATTAAGAAGTCAAAGAACAACTGTATTTTTAAAATTTTTAGTAAAAATAATCAAATACATGCTATTTTATTTAGTTTGAATCATGCCACTAGTGTGGACACGCTCGGCTGTCACCTTGATTGGATAGTAAACGATTGTCGTAAAATCGCTAAATGATATTAAACCGGGTGCATACAGTATACTTGAAAACCACCTAGGGCAACCTTGGACTGCCACATTAATCCAATACAATTTCAGGGCTGTAGCCTCCGCGGGGGCAGGGGGGGGCAGCTGCCTGACAATGCAAAAATAAACTATAACAAGTGGTTAAAGCCTTCAAGCCGAATGTCGTAGAGTCCCCATATACCTCCATAGAGACAATAAAAATACTCTATTTTATTATATAAACAATGAGCATGGAGATGAGCATGGTGATTATGAAATAATTAAAAGAGAAGATAAACTGTTCAAGTGTGGGTTTTGTTACCAGACATTTGCCGTCAGAAATGAATTAATGTGATTTACATGAAAAAGATCACGCCGAAGGGTCATCTGTTCCAATAACATCTAGACATTATGATACAGGACGTAGGCCTCATCATGGTAAAAATCTAGTCTGCCAGAATAGTAATGGAGTATCAGAAGAATTAGTTAAAGAGGAAATTGAGGATCCTGAACCTGCAAGAGAACGACCATATCCTAGGCCTGTTGGTTTGTTTCAAAATGCATTTGTTTAGTTAAAATATAGCCTATTTAACTGTTTTTATCATAATGTGGTAATCTGAAGGTAGAAAATTTGCAATTTGAATTTTAACATAATATTGCTATATAATATTATTTAAATGACTTACTGAAATGGTGTGCAAGTCAACAGTATTAAATGACAGTTGAAATTGCATTGGAAAGGAAAACTTGATATATACTCAAATGTGTTATATATTTAAATATATTTATGCTAATGCTTTGTTTGTGTTGGCAGTTCCTTTACTTTGATGTGATATTTAAATACATTTTCTCTCAATCACCACTTTGACTCCATTTGTATCAAGAATAAATTTATAAATACGGCCTAAAATTCCCTGTGTCACGAAGTGCTAACTTCATTTTCGAAACATTCACTGTGTAGGCCTTGTATGTTGTCTTAGTTAGTGGCAAAGTTACTGTTAAGTCTTGGGGATTTTAGGACAGATATTTTTCTTTGTTTATTTTCTGCACAAAACTTAACGATGCATTGGTAGGAACATTTCATATTTGATGTGAACTCACATGAAGTGTTCAAAGTTGGTCAAATTGGGTTCCAAACTAAAATGTGATAACACATTAAAATAGCACGTTAAAATTACATGTACCTCAAAAGTTGCTTAAAACATTCTGCGGTTGCTTGCTTAGAGGGTGTGATCTAGCGTTGTTGTCTGAGCAAAGAAACATGATGTTCAGACAAAAGCAACGTCATGATAGCAAAAAGAGTGTGATTTCAAAAAGTGTTTTTGAAATTGTTGAATAAGAAACAAGAAAATTAAAGTTCGAAATTCTAAAGGTTGTGTAGGCTATATGTAATTCTAATAAAAGAAAATAAAAATTTTCAGCCATATGGTTTTGTTTTTGAGAACTACATTTTTACAAAAAAAAAAAGTGGGGAAGTGCGTTTGAGATCATATATGAAAATCATCTATACGCCATGCCCAAATTTTTGCATTTATTATCAGGTTATTTTGAAATAACAAAAGCATCAAAAGTACTAATGAGTCTTATTTAGAAAGTCTTATTTAGAAACCGAAGTCCATTAGACTTTTCTTATCAAATATCAAAAAATAATTCTTTTATGAATAATATCATACACATTTTATGAATAATCATAATCACAAATCATATACAAATTTTATTCCATAAATAATTTCACTGAATATGTAATTTTTTTTTGGACGTGTATCAAACGCCTCTGCTTTCGGTAAAAGTCGAGTAGGAATTTAACTGCGACATATTTCCAGCGAATCTGAAAAAAACTATTATAATGTTTTTGGTAATTTCTTCCTGTAAGTATATGCATGCATAAACACGCGCGCATGCGCACCTGAGAGCGAGACGCAGTAAATGTCCAATCAAGCAAGTAAATGTCCTATCGCATGAATTTTGATGACAAACAATGTTTTAAATGTCTCATTCCATTTATACCATTTGTTTCTCAAGCAAAGCGTTGATTGGGCGCAACATGTCAAGTACACAGAAGAATATATTTTAAATACCCTATATACCACATAAAATAACGTTATTAAAAAAACTTACGAAAACATGAAGATGAAATTTCCATAATTATTAGCGTTTTCTGGATACATTATAACGTTTAAAACGTTTTCAGTAATGTTAGTTTAAATGCGTGTTCAATACCTTTTTAAACCCACAAAAAATCAACGTAAAGCATTGGAATAATATTTGTGAAAACATTTTAAGCAAACGGCACAAAAACTGTAAATGGTATACCCTCTACCAGTGCAACAGATTGATTATTTACGAGATACTCGCATATACCGGTATGTCTCTTGTTAATTCATGGCACATTTCTTCATCTCTTCAACTCACACACTGTCAATTCAACCAGTTTTCCCATCGACAGAGCCATTATAAATCGCTGCGGTCGTAGAAAGGAGGTAAAAACATCGCTTGGGTTGCAGAATGAATGCTCAATGATCGGCCAGTTGTCGACACGTAAAGTATTATTATTATGTTTTTTAGTCCCAAACTACTACGGGACGCCGAAAGGACGCACTCCAGTGTAAAGGTGGCCTAAGGTAAGATTCATCTCAATTTTTTTAATAGGCTATATAAGTAAAACCTTGTCATCACTATTGGTATCAAGTGACAACTTTCATCACAACGATTGTTGTTATTTTTGAATAAGAGTGAGTATTTAGATCGTTTTATTCGTCCAAGTACATGTATCTCAGTGGTGAATTTAGGTCGGGCGGCCCTGACCCTCTCTCCCTCTGAATTCTGAAAGAAAAATCACACCAATGTTCCCATTTTGAAATTAGAATTTAAACTAGTAGCTGATCATGAATCATAGTTTTCAGCTGTACCAAACAACACCGTTCGCCCTCTAAAGTACCAGAATTTTTCGAAACCCTTCAGCGGACCCCAAACCCCACCCCAAGGGAGGGGGGGGGATAAGGGTCGGCTTTTCATCCCCCCCTTTCAAATAATCCTCGATCCGCCCCTGTATCTTGTCACGATTTACCTACACGGTGTTGTTTGGGCGGTGGTTTTAACACCATAAAAATTCTCATTTAGAATCCCTTTTAGGGTAGACAGTTCGTGGAATTGACATTATCATAGAGCACAATTCTGATTAATCGTGATCAGTGTGAGGAGAGATTTCATAAAAGATACATGAAAGATGTATTTAGGCCTATGGCGCTTTTAAGTGTTTTAACAAAGCAATGTTTTTGTTTTCATACTGCAGATGTTACGAAAGAATTTATGGCTTGCAAAGTTTGAGGAAAGAAAAACCGCACTTGCATAGACAAAGGCTATTTCCCATGATGATCGTGACATAACAAGTATTTTATAGCGGCACGGCGTGGAACGCAAAACTTAATTATGAATATTTTCTACAGGCCTACGAGTTTGGTAGACCTATAAATAAGAACTTGAAAATTTGGTTGACGCAGTCAGCTTTTCCTCGTCTGGTTGAAAAAAAGCAAGACGTCTGAAACACTTGTGATATCTTACTGACCCAACTACGTTAACAGGTAGGCCTTCGGTTTCTAAGACGTGTAATTTTTTTTAATGTCCCGAACTCATACGGATTTGTTAAGATGTAGAAACTAAGAAAATCTATTTACATTAATAATATTAATATTATTATTATAATTTTTATCTTTTGAAAGTTTTGGCTTATAGAAAAATTTATGTTAAGATGAGAATCATTGCAAGTAAGATTTTTAAAGACATTTAATATTTGAGATGATGACAAACAAACTAAAATAAAATGATACCGACTTTTAATTGGTTTATTTTGTAGAAATATTGTGTGTGTACTTTTTATAGTAAAAATGAAAATAAAAAGGAATTCATGTTCGTTTTTATTATTTAACCTTTGGTTCCATCATGCCTTTTGTACACTTGTACACTTTTGATTGGATTCATGAGATTTTAGATGAATATTTTTTTTTACATATGAAAATCAATTTTTATTGTTCTTGAAGGAATAACTGAAGATGTTTTCCCTGTGTATTGCCGCCGCTGTTGTGTTGTTCTTCCCTCTCGTTCCTGCCCAGCGGAGCGGTAAGTATTCATAGGAATGAATGATAGGCTTTTTTGAAGTTAAATATTCAGTCAGATTATTTATGTTATACAATTCTTATATCAGCACAGTTGCCAAAAATCAAAACCAGATCTCATATTGCCATATATGTATATATGGAACCTATTATATGGATTTAATATAGATATAATTGAGGTTTGTGGCTTGAGTATTGTGACAGTTCGTTAAAATTCTAAAAGTTACCTTGCACAAAGTAGCATGAATTTTATGTTTCATCAAATATTGGAGACGCTAAAATTAATACATAGAAAATCATCTGTTAAAGGTAATCACACGAATTTCATTGAAATTTTAAAGAAAAGATCAGATAATCCCTGATACATATGAATTAAGTTTTTCTGTAAATGGCTATTCTGTCACATTTGTGGATCCTGCTGTTTGATATTAGAATGCAACATTTTACTTCCAAGTTTAAATGATCAAAATAAAACAGTAGTACCTTTAATTACAAGACTGATATTTGTCCATTATTTCCCACTTATATTCAAACAGATAAAAAAGTTCTTAGCTGGAAAAATAAAATATAATGTCGTGTGTGCTTTATCAAATTTCAGTTGTGCGTCTTCGATCCCAAAATTACCCGGCTTATACTTGGGGGCTTCATCCTAACGGCGACGCATACATCAAACAAGGATTCAGCGGAAATGTTTTCCATATTGTCCCCGGGTTAACCGGACAACCAGGTACCGTGTCCTTCAACTCCGTGGACTACCCGTGCTCCTATCTTCGGCATTATGGATATTTTGTTAACCTTGAAAGTTCAAAGAACCCAAGGAACGCTCACATCTTCGACAAGGACGCCACGTTCTACCCTCGACCTAACAGATTTATCCCAGGGTATACGGCCTACGAGTCGGTGAACTACCCTGGGTACTTCATCCGCCATGCTGGCTACAGACTGCAGATACGTAGAGACGATGGTTCTCTCCTGTTTAAGAGGGATGCCAGCTTCAAACCTGAGATAATTGGTACGTAGACAGTTAGTTACTTACAACTGAACATGTAACGAATTTTGTTGATCTTCTGCCAAGTTGAAAATCATTTGTGTGTATGAATTTTTTGCCCACCGTGGCATTCTCTCCCTTTTTTATCTCGCTATGTTTTTCTCTTTGTTTTTACTTGGTGCTTACAGAAAAAAGTTACGAAAAGTATTTTTTTTTCAGATTTACTGGAAAGGTGCCACACTTAAGCCTTTACTATCCCAAAGACAAAGACGTTTGATATACGCCAAAATAAAATGTCGCATTCAGTGAAATATGGAGACATTTGAGGACAATTAATACTTTTCATGCTTGAGTAATTTTAAAATGCTAGTAACTCGATAATAAATGCGGAAAATAAGGAAATGGTGTTTGTCTTATTCTTAACGCTTTAAATATAAAGACAACATTATGTTGCGCAGAGGAGCAGAAGACGTTTAATGTTAAACCTTGACGGGTTTCCACCCCCCTTTTCTGTGATGGACAGAGTGATGGTTAACCATGTAAACTTAGTTGCTATGGCAACATGTTTAATGAAAGACCAATATTCATAGTACGTGTTATACAGGTATTTTAGACAAGTGCTTTACAAGAGCTAGTTCCCCCCCCCCCCCCCCACACACACACACACACACAAAGTATTCTCCATCCTGTCAGGTGTGAAAAAAGAAAAAAAAACCAAATAGGCCCCTACATGTCAGAATGTCTCCTCGATTTTCGAAAAGATACTTACAGCTACCCTCTACCAGGGCCACAGGTTGACTTTTCACAGGATATTCACAGGTATGTCATTAGATAAATAGACGGTCATTTTACTACATGTATCTCTGGTTTTTCCCCTTTTTTCCTATATAATCTGCCACCCTGGTAAAGGGTCACTTACAGCTGCCATATCTGATTCCACGCAAATTTTGAGAAGCATATATCATTAATAAAACGTTTTGTATTGATTATAATATTGGGGGATAAGTATGTAAGGTAAACATATACATGTATATTAATTTGAATTAATTTAATGCACTTCTTTCCGAATTAGACGACTTGTGTGTAAAAACTATTATTTGCATATCCAAGAGCGTCGCACCGTGGTGGTTGTGTGGGGAAATAGGATGCCTCGGTTATTCTTTAATATCCATTGGCATACTTTTCTTAAAAGTTTTGTGATATATTTAAAAATAAATATGCTTGCAGGCCAGTGCAATTAAAATGGGGCCCATCTAACACAGCAAATGTTACCTACCACAACTAGCACACCGTGAAATGGGACAAATTTTCAAGTTTTAATATTGATATGGTTCCTCATACTATAAATGGGGATAGAACAATACAAAGATCTTATTGTGTTGGATTACAATAATCTAATAGAATTACTGTTCAGACAGACTATATTTTAGTTTCCGCAATTTTTTAGATATATGTAGGTTTAAATCCTAATACACTATAAGATTCACTTGCTCAAAAATAGCATGTAAAACAAACCAAATTTGTTTGTTAAAGACCGCGCCTACGTGAAACATTCATTGTTTACTTGCATGGCTTGATGTAGCGTTGTCTCAGCTGATAAAAGAAACGACGGTCTGGCGAAAGTGACGTCACGTGCTAATAGAGTGTGAATTCACGTGTGTTTTGCTATGTTACAAGGAAAAGTGAATTTAGAATGTTTAAATGTATCTTTTACACAAGAACCGTGCCAAGCCCTATACTGATCACTGTTCCATTTCAACAGTTTTAAAAGATCGTTAGTTTATTGAATAAAAAAGTATCCAAAAATAATTCTTCAATAAAATGTTTAATACACTATTTTATTCCATTTATAATTTCACCTAATATGGAATTTTATTTGGTCGTGTATCAAACGTCTCTGCCTTTGCCATATGGTATTTGGAATTTAACTGCCACATCTTTCCAGCAATTCTGAAATTATAAGAATTATTCTTTGCAATTTCTTCCCGAAAATATATGCATGTAAAACAATGGCAAACACACACACATATATATATACACACCTGAGAGAGAGAGAGAGAGACCCGGTCTCTAATTAAAAATGCCCTTTCGCATGAATTTTGACAACAAATTATGATATTTTAGTTCTCTCCTTTCATCTATACCATCTTGTTTCACAGACAAAACGCTGATTGGGCGCACCACATCAACTTCGCAGAAGATCAACAAAATTCGTTACATGTTCAGTTGTAGATAACTGTCTACGTACCAATTGGCTCAACTTTGAAACTGGCATCTTTTTTAAACAGGAGAGAGCCGTCGTCTCTACGTATCTGCAGTCTGTAGCCAGCATGGCGGATGAAGTGCCCAGGGTAGTTCACCGACTCGTAGGCCGTGTATCCTTGAAGAAATTTGTCAGGTCGAGGGTAGAACGTGGCGTCCTTGTCGAAGATGTGAGCGTTCCTTGGGTTCTTTGAACTTTCGAGGTTCACGAAGAAGTTATAGTGACGGAGATAGGAGCACGGGTAGGCCACTGAGTTGAAGGACACTGTACCTGGTTGTCTTGTTAACCCGGGGACAATATGGAAAACATTTCCACTGAAGCCTTGTTTGATGTATGCGTCGCCGTTAGGATGGAGTCCCCAAGTATAATCGGGATAATTTTGGGAACGAAGACGCACAACTGCAATTTAATAAAGCAAATAAATAATTATCAAGATTTAGTTTATTTTTGAGCTTGAATATGTTTGAATGTTAAGCTTTTTAATATCAGTGGGGAAATAAAGGCCAAATAAAGGCTTAAGGGAAATAAAGGCTTTTATGTGTTTTATTTTCATATATCATAATCAATATTCAACATTTGAATCTGAAAATTATGCCGCTTTACAAACAGATTCATACTTCATATTTTCCAGCATTGATTAAATTATTTCTTTCCTTTTAAGACGAACGTAGCAGAGATGATTTTAAATTCAATAAATGTTATTTGTGTTTTCGGATATTTGATAAGCATAAAAAACCGGCTAGATGTTCTACGAAAATCTCACTAACCGATTATTTAAAACGTGCCCGTAAACACAAACCATACATCGGGTTTTCTTTTGAAATCTATATGATTAAACATCATACTAGGTTCTTAAAATAATGAAATCATCTAAATTTTAGTGTACTTCATTGTTGATTTTGGGTAATTTTGAGAGTTGGACAGTCTAAGTTGGTTTTAGTATGTAGCAACTGTACTTTTATAAGATAAAAGTTATATTTCAACCTAAAATACAGTTGCTACAGTCGATTTTAATGACAGAAGTGTGGACTGTAGAAAGAGATATCATCTTCCGAATAAAAAGTATGAAAATTTCAATAAACACAAACACTCACCGGTGCCCGTCTCCTGAGCGTGGACAAGGTTGAGAGAGACAACACAGCAACGGTGGCAATACACAGGGAAAACATCTTCAGTTATTCCTACAAGAACGATAAAAATATTTTTTTCAAGCTATAACAACGCATTCGAAATCATTATTTTTTAAGGTTTATTGTTTAACTTATCAGCTTGATTAGACGTTCAATGCCCGCATAGAATTAATTTTGAATAATACTTGTCTCAATATAAATCATATCCGAAACACTTCAAAACTATTTTTGAAAAAAGTTATGATAAAAAATAGAATGATTATTTTACTTTAGAGCCCTGCATCTGTCCTAATCTACTTGAATCCACAGAGAAATACACGATCACAAACCTACAGCCTACCTGTTTTATGAAAGCTGGTCACTGAAATGATATTGTCAGAAGTCTTGCCTTCTCAATCTAACGACCAGTCGCGGATGAACTGACTACGTGAAGCTAGTTTTCAAGTTCTTATTTATAGCAAAAATTTATATAACCACGAGTAATAAACGTAGGATGATTTAAAGGAGAAACAGGAAAACAAATGTACGTACAAAAATATGGAAATAGCATTGACCAAAGGTCAAATAGTGTTATGTTTGTCTAAAACCATCTTTAATTGAAATCATTTCAGATATAAATGAACTTATCAGGAAATACCGAATTCAGGGGGGAAAAGGACACCAAACGTTGACAATGAAATTAAAAATGGAAATAGCATGAATAAAAGGCACCCGTTTTTAAGGCCCTGGATCATCCAATTACCCTGGCTGATCCTGGACCAGTCCCTGGTTACTAACTCCAACAGGAAAAATATAACTTATTGCTTAGTGGAATGCACCCTGTTTTCTGTGACAGTAATTACAGTTAATTCAGTAACCACATCATCAAAGTTCAGTCAGGTACATTTGCTAAAACCTTGTAACACCATTGAGAAGAATAGTACCATTATTTTAAAAAAACAGACACTAAAATTCGCTGTCAGGGTGCCAAAATTAAGAATCAAGTATTTTCGAATACAGGCGATGTCTATAAATCATTAATATCCTAATTAAGACAAGATACCAAAACATATTATTTTTTATCCAAAATAATAATAAAGAAAGACAAAAAACACATAGCAATTTATTACAAGTGGTTAGGAATGGACGCCAGAGTTTTTTTTTATGTGTGGATTGACGCGTGGATTGTTTGTTTGTTTGTTTATTTGTCTGTCTGTCTGTCTGTCTGTCTGTTTGCTTGTTTATCTGTCTGTCTGTCTCTTTGTTTGTTTGTTTGTTTGTTTGTTTGTCTGTCTGCATGTCTGTCTGTTTGCTTGTTTATTTGTTTGTTTTTGAGGGAGGGGTAACTATGGCTACAAATGTTTTTTTTTAATTGATTTTTTTAAAGTCATCTATTTTTTCTTTGTTTTTGAAAATCTTGTCTGTTTTGATTTTCAGTCTCGTCTCATCTTATAGGTAAAAGTGCGCTTGCACTGAAGTTTGTTCCAGTGCATTATTGAGTTGTTTCATTAAGCGCGCATACAAACAGTTCAGCTAAGACGCGCAGTGAACGCAGTCCGTATTTGATCGCTCAAGTGCCCTTGTACTCAAACAGGCGTATCAAATATTTCTGTGTCTAAATGGTTTACACTCCGAACAGTAAATTTTGGGCAACTACAACTTACAATAGAGATTGTCAACAGTGAGACTTACTCGCTTTCTGACTACTTTATAACTTACAATAGATTGTGTCAACAATGATGTACCTTATAACTTACAATAACTTACAATAGTTACCTTATAACTTACAATAGCTCAATAGAGATTGCCAACAGTGAAGCTTACTTGAGTTCTGTCTTCCTTATAGCTTACAATAGAGTGTGTCAATAATGGAGACAGCATTTCTTTTGTTTTTTGGGCAAGTACGACTTACAATAGAGCGTGTCAACAGTGACGCTTACTCGCATTTTGGAATTCTGACCAACTTATAGCTTACAACAGCTTTTGATCGGATAAAGAGCGGTCAGCTAACATACTGCTTACGTAACAATAATGAATGGCGATATTTGTTTATTGACAAGGTAGTTTTATTTACAGAAGGGTTTACAATCACATCTCCATCATCAGAATATATGCTACGCATTTAGACTGAGGGTTATATTTTAAAAATAGCAATATTCAAGAAGTGGAAGAAAAATAAATCAACTTATACAACAGATTATTTACTATTTTTTCTGAACTGGTATCCTGATAGGAATAGCATACCGGCGACGGAAAGATAACGACGGGTATTGCTCTCCCTTTTGATAATAATGTAAAAGCGCCTTGCATATTGGATCATTCTCGATATGGTTATTATTGTAAATAAAAGGGTCAAGGGATTTGTTCCCATATTTGCAATTTTCCGATTCACTATCGTCCGTCTCTGTCGCCGACTCGCTGGAAGTTTCGCCGCTTTCCGACTCGCTGTCCTCTGACTCTGTGTTTGACATTTAGGTTTGCTCCGATTCTCCAGTATTTGCCAATTCTATGCTGTCAGACACATCAGAATAGGTATTATATTCGGTATGCCTGCCAGGCATAGATCGACCTTTATAAGTTAACGGAGACTCTTCATATTCTGAATCCGACGCATACCGTTGTAATAAGGGAGTTCCCATTCCTGTCTGTTTAGTTTTCGGTCTTAAATTATATCTCTTTGATGGAACAGCGTAGGGCTCAAAACGCGTTCGCTTTTGCACGGGTTCTCTTGGTGTTTTATCAAACAGCTTTCTTTTAGGCCCCGCCATGAGACAGTCGCCTGCACTGGTAATGGTGGGCGGTCGTTGCGGTGAACCTACAGTCCTATATGGCGGAGGGAGTGTTGAGTGTTGTGTAGGAGTGGTCTTCATATACACTGTTTCAGCCACCATAGGGTTATAGTACTGCCCTTCTTGTGTTTTTTGTCGTTTCCAGTATGACTGTTTCTCGAGGGACAGTTCATCATTCAAATCAACCTTTTCGTCCAAGGTAAGGTCATCTCTTTTCCACAACTTGCGTTGGTCTGCTTCTTTTTTATCAGTTATTTTGGTAAACGGTTGCTTTTTATATTTCTCCTCTTGTAAATACTTTACAGTCTCTGATTGGTACTCATCGTCGTTGTTTTCCTCGGGAAATATACCAACGCGTAGACGACAGTCGTCTGGAGTGTCTTGCTTTAGATCGATGAAGAGGTAGCCATGAGGAGGAGAGGTTGCTTGTTTAAAACCTCGGAGGAAACCTTTTACCTCACCGGGATACATCTGCTGGGCTAGTGTTCTGACCTGCAATGTGTCCCTTGGGTTTTTAAAGAGGACGAGATAATGGCAGTTCAAGGAGATGGTTCTCGCTTCCTTCTCTCTGGGAAAAAGGTTTTGGGTAATAAGGATGACACTAACATTGCGATGATGTGACACTTTGGTAAATAAGGGTGCTTTCCCAGAGATTTAGATCGATCTAAAGATTAAGATTTAGATCGACCTAACTCCCTGGGATTTCCACCCCCAACACACAACCCAACGCGTTATACGTCACAGGTCTTGCGTAACTACCCACGTGCTACGATTTTTCCCTTGGGGGGGGCAGCAAGCGGCCATTTTGTACAGGAGCAATGTATAGATGGGTGAAAACGATACGTTGTTTTTAACCAAAAAGGATGTCCCCGGGGCGAAACTGCCAACACCAAAAGTAAAGGAGCATACCAGCGTTGTTATGAAACGATGTGGTTAGCCTGTCAGTGACGAGTTAGGGAGAAAAGAGCAGCACTGATAGCAAGGTACTGTACTATATACACGTGAACCGGCAAAGTTAATGATGATTTCATGTTGCAAAAGCATAATTAAATGAGTTAGTTATTTTCCAAACGATATTATTTGAATAGCAGATACGTAAATCAAACTAACAACAATAAACATTTTTGATGACATTGAAAATCAAAACCTGCGGTGCACGATAGGTTGGGGAGGACACTGCCACAGCAAGTACAGTAATTTAATGCATGAATTTTGTTACACAACACCATATGCTTGTGTCATTGTTAACTCTGTGGTATTATTACTCAATTTACTGCTCAAATTAATACCTGATACTATTTCTCAGGCTACCAAGTACAAATCAACTTATTTTGTGGCAATTGACCTCCATGTTCCATCTTGTGTGCAGGTTGTTTATTATTATTATTATTTGTTCAAGCACATTTTAATAAAGTGTCTATGCTTTAACAAGAGAAATTTATGCTGAAGTTTAAAAGATTAAATCATCAGTAGTATGTACAATTAAAGCTATTAATTTGATTATGCATATTTGATTTTCAATTATCTTGTTTATCATATNTAAAAGCAACGGCTGTTGATAAAGTGCAATCCGTATATGTCTGTTAAAGTTATTTCAACAATTATAATTAATTCAGACTTTATCTTAATTATCAGTGGTTTATATATAATCATGTTCTGAAAATATGATGGGGAGGAATGTAGTGTATTAGTCTATGTATTGTTTAGGCATCACGCCAGGTGTCGCATGACACCTGGTACCATGTGACTTGACGCGGGAATCTTGATTGTAATAAAGCAGAACTCACAACAGTTAACGCTGTGGAATTATTACTACTAATTATTACTCAAATTAATACCTGATATTATTTCTCAGGCTTCCAAGTACAAATCAACTTATTTTTGTGACAATTGACCTCCATGTCCCATCATGTGTGCAGGTTGTTTATCATTATTATCAATAAAATCATTATTATTATTTGTTCAAGCACATTTTGATAAAGTGGCTATGCTTTAACAAGAGAAATTCAAAATTTATGCTGAAGTTTAAAAGATTAAATCATCAGTAGTATGTACAATTAAAGCTATTTGATTATGAAGATTTGATTTTCAGTTTTCTTGATTATGATATGAGGTTTCTGCCTTTTTCTCTTGCCCTCATTCAATATATAACAAGCAAATTGATAGTGCTTTATTACAATTTTTGCTTTATACTTTCAGATGTAAAAACTGTGTAGCAGTTGGTAAAGCTGTAGAGATTGATGTGAGCATAGATCAGGGGAAATGGTATTAGAGAAACTAGGAGGACAAGACATAGATAATGTACTAGTAGATCCATCATCCCAGCAATGGTACATGTAGATGGTGTGATCTTGTCCCTGAAGCTGTGCCACAAGTTTTCAACTGGTTGAGTCCTTACTAAGACAAGCTGCTGCGGTGTGAATCGCAATATGTACATTCAGGTTATACGTGGCAGATTTATGACAAAAGAGACCTTCACAATATACTTCAAAGGAGTTATTCTTGTGTCTGTGCCTCATCAAAAGTACACAGTAACAGTGACTAGAGCATTGTCTGCAAATGGTGAGATCGTGAAGGCTGCAAGGTGCCATTGTTTTTCAGTATTAAGAATGACAGTATCTGTTTTTTTAATTTATTTTTTTATTATTCATTTTTAATGAAAGGGAGACTCACTCTGTTCTTTCTATGCCCATTCAGTTAAGGGTTGGTGGCAATATATGGTAAATCTGTCATGCCTGTATGTAGAATTTCTCTTGCTCAAATTTCTACATTTATTGAGTGCATTATGAAGTTTCCTGACTGATTAATGAGGTTACTTGTAGAATATCTTGCTTAAACACATTTTGTGATATTTTTACTACTTTATACATATGATTATTCACATCTCAGTAGTGGTGTGTGAAAGGTACTTGGTATTTGCATTTTAGAACTGTAGATCTGTGTACCAGCAGGGTTATATTGCAGTAATATCTGTTTATGTTTCTAAAAATAAGCTTCATGTTTGATAATTAATTGGTTTGAAATAAATAAATAAATAACCCAAATAAAATCAATTCATTTTATATTTCACATAATCTGTTTTTATTATTTCTTCTAAGCATTTAATCATAACATCTCCCATCATTATTGTGTTATTGTGTAATAACATTGAAAGGTTCCAAATTTTTATTAACAGGTTGATGCTAACGTATTACAGGCTTCAGTGGTCAGCATATCGCCACGGTCATATAACATCCCTAGGTATGTATAACTTTGATTACTCAGATTCGGGGGGGTGACACTTCTGTTCTTTTTTAACAATGTTTATTCAAAGGAAATGGAGGCAAAGCGCTAAAAGCATTAGATGCTCTCCATGTAGAGCAAAATTAAATAAGGAAATAAATAAAACAAATAGATATGTATATGCATATACATAAGAAGCAACAGAATATATGTATATAAAAAAAGTGTCTACATTTTCGGTTAATTTAAACACAAAAAACTCAAAACCATGATTTTTCGGCAATTTTACCACCGGCCTTCAGCGGTGTTAAATCAAAAGTACCGTGAATTAGTAGGCCTAACTCAAGGCAAGGAAGTAAATACCAGTACTTCCTTGCTCAAGGTCAGCCTCGAGATGATAGCATTGGCGAATTTTTCTTATTCTTACTCTTTGTTGCTATGTGAAATAATTCTCAATCGTAACTTTAAAAAATCATAACTTACAGGTAAAACGTGATTTTAAAAATTGACTCAAAACGGAATCTTCGTCAAAATCACAAAAATGGAAATATGGACATTATATTCTTGACAAATACAGTTGGAAGCCTTTGTCAAGCATGCACTGTGTTTTGGTTCACTGTGGTATATCTTCGTTAAAAAGGACAAGCAACCTGCAAACTGCCACGTATAACCTGAATGTACATATTGCGATTCACACCGCAGCAGCTTGTCTTAGTAAGGACTCAACCAGTGGTTTCGAGTGGTTTTTATTTTAATTAAAATTTCTTATCGAAGTTCACTCGACATTTTGGAAGATTGATATCTTTGATGCTGGGCATTCATTTTTAACAATCTATTCGTTGAACGCTTCGTTCGCTAAAAGTAATCTTGTTTCATTTTTTCCAGTTACTGTCAACTGGTTCTGAAAAGGCTGACTGCCAAGCAATAAATGGGCCAGTAGACGTTTTTTTCTCTTTTTTTAGTCAACTGGAACCCAGAGAAGACGACTAAGTATTACTCATAAACTGTTAAGACCATTGCGCTGCCATATTAAAATTGTCACTTCATAAATATTATCAAAACACAGCATAGCAGAAACGGGAATTGAAAGATTACTGTCTCTTGCCCAATCTTCTTTGAAAATTTTGGAAACCATGCATTGATAGTCCAGGTTTAACTACCTGGCACCAGTGTTAACCTTTTTATGTCTGCTTACAGTGACATCAACATTTCTTTAAACTATAGATAATATATCAAAAATCGATCTTTGAAGTTGAGTCATTTTATTGACGAGGTATAAAATGTCCTTTTTGGAATAATACAAATTACAATTTAAGGTGGACCACTTCAAGAAATTTCAACAGCTGTCACGATATCCTTACTTGGCATGAAGGTAGAAGTCCATTGAAACAATAATTTATAATTTTTTTTTTACTTTACTTTTTAAGACAAAGTTACTCAAAAATTATACTTAACATAAACTTCTTATGGCATTATCACATTTTTGACCAATAAATATTGATAAATAAATAAATAAATAAATAAATAAATAAATAAACAGCTCAGTGTAGTGACAAAAACAGTTATATGAGTGGAAGATACATAAAAGACAATAATTTTATTGTAAAACTTTAATGGACATGATTCTCGACTATTTTCATCACTCATTCCAACATCATTGTGAAAGAAAGACAAGAAGACTAGATACTTTTGTAGACCTTTTCTCTTTTCATCTGCACATTTTTTTTTTTCGGCAGTGCTCTCAAGAGTTTCCTATTAACAGCAAGCTATCCAGCTCATTACAAGTTTGTGCAGTATAATATAAAGTCTTGTTTACAAAAACAACATCCTTCTTTCATCACAAGGGAGAAGCCATTTTTCAAACTGTCCCAGAAGACACTGAAAGACTTTTTTCACATATTAATAAATATTCAAGGTTCTTATCCAGTGACTCTGTTGGTTTTCATTCATTTCTTCACTTTGATGACTCCTGCTGCTCAAACAGAGGATATTTGCTCAGTACGTCTTCCCAGGACCGTCTGCCATTTGCCAAATCACTCACTATCTGAGGAAGTTCATCCACCTAAAAAAGCACAAATAGTAATAATCCATCTGGAAATCTGTACATAAAAAGCATGACTTTTCCCCCAATTATAGGAAACTTTTTTCTTTTTAATATGTTAAAAGGAATATTAAAATGGAGTTTCTGTAGACATCACAGGGAAAGATGGTGTAATCAATTAGTTTTTTTTTTGCATTTCACTCCCGTTCATTTAAGGAAAAAATAAACTGCTGAATATGCATATGAGATAAAAAATATAACAAAACAAGGAAAATGTCACACTAATGGAAAAATCGTATTTAAATAGGCAATTCATCATTAAAAAATACAGAAACTAGAAAAAAAGAAAACTTTATTTTTCAGAGCCATAGATCATTTTTTTAAAAAATCAAATTCACTCACGCTGGCTCTAATCTGCTTCATGGTGTCCCTCTCCCTCAGCGTGGCTGTATGGGGCTCTTTAAGGGAATCAAAGTCTACAGTGATACCAAATGGTATTGCTATGGCATCAGTCCTGGCGTATCTTCTCCCGATGGAGCCTCCGCTGTCATCCACTTTGTGCGAGATATCAAGATTGGTCAGGGCTTTTGCTGCAGAAAATAAATAAATAAATAAAAATAAATGAAAATAAATAAATAAAAAGTCCACTCATAATTGCAAGCTTTGCATACAACCCTTAGATATGAGAATTCTATGAAATTCTGACAGCTTCATTTTTAAAGATATTCTCACACTGTTTTCTTTTTCACTCAAAAGGTGCATCTACACTTCTCAGCATGGATGTGCATTACGTGTGTGTGTGTGTGTGTGTGTATGCACTTGCACGTGTGCTTGCAAACAAGGACACATATCAGTGACATTACTTACATAATTGTGACACTATGGTGTCCAGCTCAGCCTTTCCACTCAGAGGTAGAACTGAACACTTGTAAGGGGCAATCACAGGTGGCAAGGAGAAATACTGAAATAGCAATATGAACATAAGTATGAAATACACTTAGGTACATGTTCGTGTACGTGCACAGGTGTGTGTGTGTGTGTGTGTGCAGACAAAAAAAAAAACCACATGGGGGTGATAATGTGTTCGTGGGAGAGAGAGAGAGAGAATGCACAATGTGCCTTGAGTGGTTGTACAAATTCATTTAAAAGAGTTACTTTTGTCTAATTCAATAATCAATTTTTAAAAAAATAATTTGCAACTCTGTTGTGATTTCAGAATAGCCATTGTGGATTTTTTTAAAGTATGACACTCATATTAATGCTAACTATTTCCACAACAAAAAATCTTACCCTTCTCTGTTCATCTCCTTCTCGCTGCCTGTAACTGTGTTCAAATATGGCATACATGATTCGTCCTATTCCAAACGATGGCTCTATCACTCCAGGCGTAATATCCTCCACTATAAATAAAACGATAGCTTTGATTGGCCGAGCTTTCTTTATCTGACCATTCAAAAAAGATTTCTCACTTACATGACATGCTTCTTCAGTAATGTATATTAAGTGCTTAAATTTGTTAGAAATGTCAATATTTTTTAATTTGCCAGTACTAAGCAAAATAAATAAATGAAATACATATGTATGGGGGTGGGTGGGCATGAGTAGGGGGAGAGACAGGCATCTGGTATAGTGCGAACATGTGGTTATAGACACACGGATAAATGTGGCACCAATTACTTTGACATGGCTATAAATTAACAGATAACTTAAAAAATATATTGCAAAATCAAAAACAAAAATCATGCCAGTCTATGCACAAAACATTTGTAGATTTTCAGAAATGCGAAAGAAAACCATTAAACCTGCACAACTCAACAGTATTTTTTCAAAGTCTTAATAAATCAATTTTTTTTGTATGGGAGAGATTCAAAACATGTTCCTTGAGAAAACTACTTACCATGCACCGTCTTTTCGTATCTCTTGATGCTCACCATTTCTGGTGTTATTTTAAATTCCTGCCCATTCACAGTGACTGCAAATTCCCTGCAAAAAATTGAGACACTGAAAAAACAGTAAAGCAGGGTCCAAATTATGTTGCAGATTTATAAGAGCCTGTTCAGAACCAAGTTGATCCTCAGACTAACTGATCCCTGGGTCAAATATGACGCACGCTTGAAGTTGCTTTTAAGTGGGTCGCGCCGTATTTGATCCATGGATCAGTTAGTCTGAGGATCAACTTGGTTCTGAAAAGACCCTATGTCTGATTACAATTGGTATAATATATGTTTATTATCTTATCTTGATATTCCTATTGGATACTTAGTTTTCAATTCATATGAAAATATACTGTTATCCTCAATCAAAACATATTACTATAAAGTCAATATTATCACATGCATACAACATCAATACTTACAAATGAAAACACTTACAAAAGCAAACACAAAATTAAGAATAGTACACAGTTATAAAGGCATACAACAAAAACAAAAATTCAATTTACTTTCTGTCATTTAGGGCTCTGTCCATGGCTTCCACTTCCTCCTTGTCCATGGCAGCAATGAAGTCTATCACCGCTTTGCCGTCTTTCTTGAACGCCTTGCCAATAACCCCCTTCTGCATCTGCGGCTCCACAAACTCTACTGTTTTGTAAGGCAAAGTTAAAGAGAAATACGAAGAAGTGGCACGCGTGAAAAAGTCATAAGGATGAACATAGAATGCATAGACTTAAGGGATCACCACAGCATTTACTACAATACACCACATTCACCATACACCATATATTATTATACACCACATTTAACTTTTCACCAACAATGAGGTACATGCACTATTAAACCCATTTTTGCTGGTTCAGGTTTCATGCCTTTTTCCAGCGACGCATGCATAATCACACACAGGACTAGCGGAAATGGGTAAACCCTGCATGCACATCCATGGAAATGGGCATGAAACCCGACCAATGGAAATGGATAAACCACACTTGGCATCAATATCTGTGAAAAAGGCGAATGTGGTGATAACTGCTAGAACAAGGAACAGACATGAGCGAAGGTTTTAGAAAAAAACAACAACTCTGAACACTTATTGTGGAACTAAACACCTGAAGTAATTTTTGGGAGGTTTAATTGCTCTAGGCTCATGTAAAAAAGTGGAATTCCTTAATTCCGTGGAAAAAGCTCATGTCTGAAGCAAGGATATAGGTTCTGGCAGTTGCTTGGATGCAGACAGGGTGACACCCGTAGCCTTCTGGTGCTGCTTCAGGTCATAACAGGAACGGTCAGCACAGCCAACACATTCTATCCAGCCCTGTGATAATAATAATAATAATAATAATAATAATAATAATTCAGTCTTGTAAGGACAATAGCAGTGTGGTGACACAGGTTTTTATAAATAATCTTTTGTGTAAAGATAATAAAAAAAGGTAAATTTTTCCTAGAAAACTTTTAGCATCTTTGTATTGAAGAAAATCTCAATTCCGCCCATCCTAATTTCTGTTATAATTCTGTTATAATATCAAATGGAGCAATTCTGTTTACTCTTCATTCAAAATGAAAAAGAGTGCAATTTTCCCAATGGAAAAAAAATCCTCTCTCTACATTTTGCTACTTACAGACACAATTATTTTTAAAGGTCTATTTTTGGACTAAGAATAATTTTCTGCTCAATAATTTCTATGACAATATGACGCTTGAATCCTCCTCAAGAAGACGTTGACATCTGAACAATGATGTAAACTAAATCACGCTTGTTTAACCACTTACGTAAGACGTTTTACACTCGGCGTCCCAGCAGTCGCAGGCATAGTGAGCCATTTCGTTGGACATGTGCTGACGGAAGCGAAACCTGGTCGGGTCTACACCACACTTGGTCATAAATAGGTAGATCCTCCCCATGAAGTAGCCCAATGTTTGGTTATTGATGATTTTCTAGAGATAATAAATAATATCACAAATATTGTTTATAATATGGTGCATTCCATAACAAGTTGATGCCTCTTACAAAAAAAGAAATTGAATTTTACAAATATTACCATTAAAAATACTAAATATACGAAAAGACAGAACACTTTTTAAGGTTTTTTAAAATCAAGCTTAAAAAGAAGTTTCTGACCTCTCTTGTAGTCAATGGTAAATCATTTCCAAGACTGAGGATATCTTTCAAATCAGTAAGTTACTTAATTTATTAGTTTTTTCAACTCTTTCTCTCCCTCAAAGTAGTTGCATTCTTTTTAGAAAGGGGGAGAGGGAGAATGGAATATTACAGGGTTTGTTTTTTTTTTTAAATAAACTGTACAATGTTTCACAGGGGCCCTTTACTATATCTCACAAGGATAGTTCATGAACTAGTTGTGGTAGGGGAAGGGGGAGAGAGGCAAGGAGAGGAGGGAAGCAGGACATTTTAGTACAGGGTGGTTGGAAAAAAAAGGCACACTTACCTGTTCCACGGCTTCGCCCAGTGTCATCACCTGCACTGGTTTGCCGTCCAGCTGGTTACAAGCCGAGTGCAACGGAATTCGAAGATCGGCGACGTCCTTGAACCTGGGGTGACTCTTGTCCTCGGGGTCTAAGAAGTGCTCGATTTCTGCCATTGTGAACTCTCTGAAATTATTATCATAAATAATGGGTGATTTTCATTCCATTTAATTCACTCTTTTTATGATCACAGACACTGTGACAAGCAGCTACTTATTAATATTGAAACCGAGCGAGAGAGAGAGAGAGAGAGAGAGAGAGAGAGAGAGAGCGTGTGTTTGATCATTTAGAAAAATCTAACATAAAGGTATACAGGTTATAACTTGAAATTAACACTTTTATTATTCACACGAATGCTACCTGACTCGTATAAGTCCAGATCTCGGTGAGATTTCATTCCTAAAAGAGTTGCCTATCTGTGCTGCTGCAAATGGCAGTTTTCCCTGATTGAATTCCAAAAGGCGTTTAAAGTTGACAAATATTCCCTGAGCTGTCTCTGGGCGTAGATAACTGAAAGTCAATAAAACAAAAATACTTAACCAATTAATGAAATTATAAAAACATTAAATAATAAAAAAAGTTCACTAATATCTCCTGAGCTGTCTGTGGGTGTAGGTAGCAAGAAGTTAATAAAGCACTAATACTAATTAATCTAGTTACAAAAATATGTAATCATAAAATAGTTCAATAATACCCTTCAGACAATGTAAGAAATACTACTGATATAATCAAATTCTGAAAACAAAATCTGAATTATAAATTGTAACTAACTCAGTTTGTTAGTTCTTTTAAATGCATCTTCCTTCTCCATAAAATCTACAACTTTCACAGTGGAAAGAAAATGAGAAAAAAAAAAACAGAAGAATATCACAAAAAACATATCAGCAGGGATGATATTTCTTAGCTCCCTAAAAGTCTGATATTCACAGATAGTCAGAAAAATCTCATAACTTCCAGCACCAAAAAGTCTGAAATCTGCCAAGAGTCAAAAAAATCTTATCCCTGTATTAGTCGCATTTAGTACCCACCCTTTCACGGTCCCAGTTGGTCCTATAGAGGTGCTGAACATAAGGTTGAAGGCGACGGGCTCTGACAAGTCATTCCCAGAGACTGGTGACTTCATGTTATACGTCTTCATAATGGAGCCCATTTCTTCCTTGGTCAGTCCATCTATCTGTAAAATGTAATACCGCATTCAATTTGTTATTTAAAATAATTTATATTTAAGTTGAGGTCGATCACTGAGCTGTATAAAAGTAACACAAAGAGATTTGAGTGACCTTTTTTAATTAGTCAGTTCATCTATCTGTAAAATGTAATACCACATTTCCATTTCATAATTAATACTTAAAATTAGGTCAGCTATGGAGCTTTTTTTAATAAGTCAGTCCATTTATCTGTAAAATGTATCAAATTTTTTTCTATAAATTATACTTTAATTATGATTGGCCATGGCGCTTTATAAAAGTAACACATAGATATTTAAAAGTGAGCATTTTTGATAAGGTCTTAAACAACTGACTTAAAACAAACATTTTGTTTTTTTTTTCAGCTTTGATAGTCCACCTATCTATAGAATAAGCTGCAGGATACAAAACCTACCACTGATAATATTTTGGCTGCCTTTTCTTTAACATCATCTGCCAGTTTCTTGTCAGTGAGAAGTTTCTCTAGGTGGGCTGAAAGGGTAACAGTTATTGTTTAAAACAAGATTTCTATATGTGAGGACTTTTCTTTGATAATTATACACAGCAGGCCCGTAGCCAACAATTTCAAAAGGGGGGTTCTTTTTCTGAAAAAGTGGACCTTTTTCCATAAAAACTTCATGTACATAGATCGTACTTTACCCATAGTGGACCTTTTCCCAGCAAAAGGGGCTGTTCTTTCGAACCCCCTGGCTACGGGCCTGCACAGACTAAAATAACGGAGGTAGATACATGCTTCAGTTAACTTTATACATTTTATATGGTATAGTTTCTGGGTCAAATCATGTAAGAAAATTTTCCTAATTCTTCAAAATCTTTTCTTTATTTTTGCCTGTTTGTGTGCTTATGGAGGTATGTGAATTAACAAGTAAAAATTCACCTTCAATTAAATGGTCAGCTCGGAAGCACTGGCCATTCTTCATGTCTTTGACCATATAATCTGAGAATCTCTCAACATGACCAGAAGCTCTGAAAGAATACAAAATGAGGAGTTTAAAGAGCAGCACTCTAAAATGTGTTCGTGAATATTTTATAACTAGGAGGAATATCTTGCCTAAAAGTAATGATTCGCTTTAGGTGTCAATTTTGAGGGAATGAGAAACAACCCTTATACAATAATAACCCCACAATGGAAATTTTAACTGGAGATTTAAAAATCTAGTTCAACATAAAAAAAGACTTTTGACCAAACATGTTTTCTAACAAAGTTTAATCACCTTTTCAGCCAAAATATAAGGCATAGAAACAATGTTAATTATAATAACTAGTCTTTTGAGACTATATGCACTATAAAGACAGCCAGACGGATGGACAAACAGACAGAGAGACCCTTACATCAGCACAGGCTCTGGAGTGAGCATGGAGCAGTCCACCTCCAGCATCTGTTCCTCAAGGATGAAGTGTTTTCTCCATGCATTCAACAGGTTCGCCTTCATGGCACATCCCATGGGACCAAAGTCATACAACCCATTCACTCCTGAGAATTGAAACAAAAGTTTCTTAAACCTTAACACTTGTTTCTTAAAATTTGTCTGATTAGTATATAAATGTACATACCAGTCCAGTGGAAAAGATTGCACAAAAGTTTTTTTTTATATAATATCTAGCTTAATAAATTCCATTGCAAAGCAAAAGGCAATAAAAAACTTCATGAAAACTTCACTACTGGCATGATTCAAGTAAGATTTGGCCTTTCTTTACAGCATCTTCACTTTCACATTCAATATTTTTTTTACCTCCGTAGATGGCAAATGCCTGGTCGTAGAAAAACCTCTGCTTAAGAAGGTCCTCCATCTTGACCCTATCAAACTGTGCATCTTTAGGCTCAAGCTCCAGCTCCTGCAAAAGAGACCAAAGGCAATTTGTCAGAGCCACTGGAGAAAAATATATGCCCGAGTTCGAGATATATTGGGTGAGTAAAAGGCAAAAAAAGCAAATGTTGGCATGTTATATTTAAAGTAGTAAAAAAGAAAAAAAGAGTATGTCTTAAACAGTTTATAGTACTGGTCCATATTCACACAATGGTCTTGGGGAGTAAAAATATCTGAATTTATCCAAATACTAACTGACAGTGCCTTATTTCCTGACATAACTCAGGAAAAAAGAAACGAAATAAAACAGCAAAAAGAGAGAACATTTTATTTCTAGCTTTTGGGCATCAAATGAATATATATCACAAACCCAGTTCAAGCACACCTGACCATCCCTGCTATAAATTGAAAATCCATACATGCGAGTACTACAACACTGTTTTATGTTCGAAAACAATAAGCAATATCTAATGGATACTCAAGATAAAGAACTCAATGCAACTGCAATTGGATCAATAAGGAAGTAGCACATAGAAGCCAGTTCCTTAGAAGATGAAAGGTATTGTTTTTCATATTCCCTTAGAGAGTGCAACTGTGTTCTTATTAATTAAATAATTAATAGTTTTCATCTTACCTTATCTTCTAATGCCTTCTTCTTGGTCTTAAGGTCGGCCACAGCCCTCTTAATATCTATTTCTGGCGCCTTTTCCTCTTTAAGTTTTCGCACAATATCTCCCTGGGGAAGAGGAAACGCATTTAATTGTGGTATTCTACTCTTGCACTTAGGAAAAATTGATAACTCTGGCTTCAAAGCAGCTGGTACATTTCTTACCTGTGTGAATATACTCCTTTAACTGTATACTCCTTAGACAAAAGTACTTTTCATCGTTAGAAACATTTTTCCCATACTAGAAAATTTCCTAGTCATTATCACATAAAAGAGGAAATAAAAAATTTAAATGCCCTATGGTACTTATTTGAGCACTCAGGTTAAAAAATTACCACATTCTATTCTTTTGTATGATCTCATCATCAAAAACGCATTTTTTTTTTCAATAAATATAACATATTGGCATAAAATGCTCGCACCTATACTGAGTACTTTGCATTCTGTCATAATAACAAGTGCATTTGCATCAAAATGTAAAAAAAAAATCAGAAACTGCTCATGCATGACATAATGCATTTAAAATAGAACCCAAATGTATAAAAGTGATATATATATAGGATTCAGTCATATTTTCAATTCACCTAATGATGAGAGAAAATACATACTAAAATACATCACATGAAAGTGCTCATGCCACATGATTTAAAGAGATTCACAATGGTCAAGGTTGACCCAGGGTCATTTAATGGTCAGTTAGTCATCTTTTTTTTTTTTTTTAACAAAGAAATATCAACTGCCACTTATCCTTAACAACCTATTGTCTTCAACTTAATGACAAATAACAGGGTCTAAGGAAAAGATGTCCCTAGATATGCTGGAAAAGATATCAAGCAACTAGACACCCCCCCCCAAAAAAAAAAAAAATAAATAAATAAATAAAATAACAATAATAATAATAAACACCAGAGACTTACAAATAATATTAATAACAATAATAATTTCCTTTTTTTATAACAACAAAACAATAGTTGTAAACATAAAATATGATAACAGATAGACATCGGTGGTTAATAAGAACTAAAATATTTTCCATATTATACATTTGATTTGTGTTGTAGATAATCAAGAATTTGCATATGTAATTACTGTATGTAAATGACAAGTGAAGACAAGTGATGTACTATGTATGATTTGTTTTCTGTTAGAATAAAGACAAACATCCCTATTATGCAATATATTAGAACAACAGACCAAGTGTGTTTTGATTCAGTTCCTGGTATTGCATCAGCTGATCTCAGACACTAAGAGGAACAAAAACGCTTGTCAATTTCAAACTTGAAGTCAATCAAATGACCAGGATTCGTAAGTTATAAGAGGGAAAGGACTTAGAAACGTTGCCCAATCAACTTTAGAACATTGACACCGTACTAGATTGTTAAAGCTATCTAACGTTTACCGTTTGAAGCATTTAGATAAATCACGCACCTGCTGTTTCACCGCATCCCTCAGCGGCTGAAGGATTGCATCTATTTTTGGATCGACTTCAGCCATCGTGTTACCGGCGCTAGTTTGGCGTTTTCCTCTCTTACTGAACCAATTCTCCGGCTGATGCTTTAGAAATCTTGGACTGGATGTGCCCAAGCTTCGAGCAGAAAGTAAAACGCGCTGTGTCTTACAGAGAACGGCCTGTGTCACTAACCTCAACCCAAATTGCATGAGAAGGTTGCGTTAAATATATTAGCCTGCCACGAGGGTTGGGGTTGGAAGGACTTCCGGTTGAAATATTGCATAGATCGTCAAAATAAAGTCATCTTTATCTCCACTTTCATGAAGTTGAGTTTATATATATCAAAAATAATAACAAGCGGTTACTTAATTCAGTATACAGGGAAAATGCAATGCTTGGGTTTATTATCAGGCAACCATTTCGGCGCTCAAATGTGTGCATTATGGGATCGATCCAACATGTCTGCGCCCATGTGTAGGAAAGTGACTAGCCGGTTGATACAGCATTTAACTAAAATTTCGGCGCTACGACTCCAATATCCTGATCAAAGCTACTGCAAAATTCTTTCATATACCAAAAATACAATATGCACAACACCAAGACGGTCAGCTGTAAACAAAAATCCTGAAACTCGACGTTTTCACGGAAGTGGCATACCACTGAAAGTGTTGGGCATTGAAACAAGTTGCGATGACACGGGTGCAGCTATTGTCGATGAAGACAGAAATGTCTTGGGAGAGGCACTTAACTCCCAAACACAAGTCCACGTCCAGTGAGAATTCATACTCTCAAACACGTTACCATTTGAATTTACCAGGCATTGTTTTAACATAATTAACTTCTGGCGAACAATGTGATTGTGAAGATGTGTCTTGCCAAAATACAAGATACTGGTAATGAGTATTAAAGCCAGAAATAGTTACATCTGGGTTATAACAAATTTAAAAAACAGCAAATTTTAATGTTACTCGGAAAAGTTTGTGCTTGATACTTATTAATCTTAAAGTTACCAAAATAGGGGAGTGAATGCACTGTGCTGGTAAATGTATAAGGGGGGGGGGGGGGGCTATTTTAAAATTATATGCAGTTTCACAAATAGCCAGTTCCCCACTGAAAAATAAATTGACATCAAAATTATATCTTCAAAGTCATCATATCTCTCAAATTTGTGTATCAACTTCAATTAAATATTTTGATGTCCGTTCTGAAAACTGGTATATAATATTACAGGCATGGTGGCATCATCCCAACAGTTGCTCAAGATCTCCACAAAATAAATATAGAAGATGTTGTTACTGAGGCTCTGGAGAAGGCAAATATGACCATAAAGGTAACTTCTTCCATTTCAGCATTATACACTGCAGTTTAAAGTATAGATGTCTATAAACAATTGACTTTTGATTAAAATCACCACTTAAGTCAAATAGTGTACTCGGTGTTAGAAATTAAGGCTGGACTGTCTGCCTGGGGCAGACAACTTTCAGAACAGGCTGAGAAGTTTTCCCACCCGTTAGATATTCTGTCCAGCTACTTTTCAAGATGGCTGGGCCTTCGGTCCAGCAACTAATTTTCCTAAAAGGCAAACACTTAGTGTACTGGTAGTATTTGCTAACAATATGATCATGTAGTAAATTTCTTCCAATCAGTGTGATTTATACTGCAGTTTATAGTATAGATATCTAAAATGTACTAATCAAAATGTTGCCTTAAAGCTAATCATCTGTTTTGAGTTTTGCTAATTTTAATTTAATAATTTAACAAGGCAGCAAAGCTGTCAAATGTACAGACAAAAAGAAGGAAAAAAACAAAATAGGGTACAGTCAATTCTGATGCAAAAGTACATTATGTTAAACTGCAAATTCAACATCAAATTTTAATTATGCTCAACAGGTAATTCCAATGTAAGTAAAATGTGTAACAAGCATAAGGCTTCAGCCCCATAGGAGTTCAAGTTCACACTCTGAAAATGTATAACTTCCAGAAAAAGAAGTCAATTTGACTGCTTTTCTCAGGCTGCATTTTAGTCCTGTATTTCTTTTTTGAAAGTTTGGCAATCATAAGTAAGATGGTTTTCCCATAATGGTTTTCATGGCAGCAGCACCCAAAATTGTGAGTTCTTCTATTCTGATGCAATATTACATAATGGTTAACAGCATAATGACAATCAATTTTTAATAATAAAAATAAAGGTATCATGGATTTTCAGAAAATGTGACTAGCATGGGTCTTCAAGCCTGTGGAACTTCAAAGTCACACCTTGAAAATGCCAATATGTGAAAAATTAAACTTTCACAAAAAAACTGTTTAACCGGCTGAAAGAATTACCAAACAGATTGCATTGCCTACTGAAGCTGTATTTAAGTCCCATGTTTCTTTCTGTAAGTTTGAGAACAGTAAATGACATGGTTTTCCTTAAATGGTCATCATGGGAGCAGTGCCCAAAATAGGTTTATTTTCAAATTTTGATGCAATATTACATAATGTTTAACAGCATAATGATCATCAATTTTTAATAATATCATGTATATTCAGAAAATGTGACTAGCAAAGGTCTTCATGCCCATGGAACTTCAAAGTGACACCTTGAATATGCCAAAATGTAAACTAGACAGCACTGTGCTGAAATGGGTTTATTTCCATTTTTAACACTTTTTTAATATAAGATGAAATAAACAGTTTACTGCCATTTTTATATGATCAACTAAGAAAATTGATGAGATGGGACAAATTTCAATAGAACTGTGTCAAATGTCCAATTTCCTCCATTCTGACATTCTGAACATAGTAAATGATTGAATCTGACTGATATGAGTTTATTTCCATTTTTGACACTTTATTACACAATACACGATAACAAGTTTACCATCATTTCTACATAATCAACTAACAATGTTGTAAAGATGCAGGAAATGTCAAACAAACACTTCTATGTGTCTTATTAATTAAATAATAAGACTGTTAACATGCCTAAGAATTGAATTTGAGGAAATGTGAAAAAACAGCACGACTTCTAAAACAATGGCCCGATTATACTAATTTTCAAACTCAACCTGCATTTCAGTAAGATTGACCACTCCTGTGAGTTTAATGACAATTGGTCTATCTGTTTTTTCTTATATTGTGTTTACAGTGTTGCATATATGCTAAAAAGTGAAAAAACAGCATAACTACTAAAATAGTGGCCCGATCATGCCGATTTTCGAACTTGGCCTGCGTTTTAGTAAGATTGATTACTCCTGTGAGTTTCATGACAACAGGCCTATCGGTTTTCCTTAAAATGTGTTAACAGGGTTGCATATATGCTGAAAAGTGAAAAAACAGCATAACTTCTACAATAATGGCCAGATCATGCTGATTTTCGAACTTGACCTGCGTTTTATGAATATTCATCAGCTCTGTAAATATAAAGCCAAAAAGTAAAACTGCCCTCCACTTATCGTGTTAACAAGGAAAGTGCACGGTGCCGGCATCGGCATCGGCGACGGCGACGACGGCGACGACAGACGCAGGTGATGGCAATATGTACAGACACATCTGTGTCTGTACATAAAAATCATTGTCATTACAAATTGTTTTATATATACAAGTAAGAATTTTTATCTATATTGATGTTTGAATTCAATAAATTGAAAAAAAAATTAAGTTTGAGTTTTGTGTGAATAAGCATGAAGGGTCCAAAGGCATCTCTTGTTTGGTGAAATTTTCAAAGTGGAAAAAATGTAGGTGGTGAATTGTCTTCTGACAATTAAAATTGTCAAGACCGACTATATTTTTTACCATAAAATGCTTTCAATTGTAGGATGTTGATGCTATAGCAACCACTGTGAAGCCAGGAATGGGGCTGTCATTGAGGATAGGGCTGGAATATGGGAAGAAACTCGTGAGAGAGTCTGGGTCAGTTTTTTTTTCCATGCAGCTGCTCATCTAGTAAAATATTCTGTGGAAGTAATAATGATCTGCCTGTTGTAAAGATAAATGTAAACAAGGTGGTGCTCAAGGCTAACCAGGTCAGCTGTCCCATACGCATTTTATGTTTAAGTCAAATGGCTTTTTATTTCACCAAATTGATAAGAAAATTACATAAACTGTAAGCGCGCGCGCACACACACACACACACACACACACACACACACACTTTTAAATATTGGTTCAAATGTATATTTTTTTTCCAGAAAACCATTTATTCCAATTCACCATATGGAAGCCCATGCACTTACAGTTCGCCTGATTGAAAAGTAGGCATTTGAACTTAGTTATAAAATTTTTATATAGAGGAAAAAAAAGCCTTGCTGTCACTGTCAGTTTTCTAGACTGGCCATTTCTCTTTTCTCTTTGGCTTGTATGTAATACAGAGTGAATGGGTCAGCTGTCTGTTGGAAAGAAGAAAAGAACTTTAACTTGATTGTACTTCGCATTATGTTGTATGTAAGAGTGCATTCAGAACAGCGGACTAACAGATCCGCAAATCAAAGATGGCTGACCCTCGTCAGGGGCGGACCCAAAGATATTTTCTGACAGTCTTCCAAATCATCTTTGTTGATTCATCCTTCATTTTTGACCGTCTTCCGACAGAAAAAATTAGATACCCATCAATGTAAACTTGAAAATCTGACCGTCTTCCGGAAGACCCAGAAGACGGCCTAAATCCGCCCCTGCTCTTGAATGCTTGTTGTGTAATCCCCTGAGGGAATCTATTCAGTGTCTTATCGGAAATTAAATGTCAAGCTTTTTAGTGGGTCGCCATATTTGAATCTGTTAGTCCACTGTTCTGAATGCACTCTATACTGACATTCTAGGGTGGACTTTCCATACCTGGTATTTTTACTGAGTGGTGGCCACTGCTTGTTGGCAGTGGTGAGAGATGTAGAAGACTTCTTACTTCTAGGCACAACCCTAGATGACGCACCTGGAGACGTTTATGATAAGGTATATATATGAGTACATATTTAGCAGGGATGACATTTTTCCTACTATCAGCGGATTTCTGACTTTTTTGGGAGCAAAAAAAATTATTGGGCTAGGCGGCCCCCCTGGACCCCATGCCATATTTTTTATACTTTTTCCCCTAATATGGCAGTCTCATCCCTGATTTATGCAATTTTAATCTATTTGTGCTTTCCCCTCAAATGATCTCTAGATTTGTTGATGCATCTGTACATTTGTGAGTTTTGCTGTCTAATTAAGCTATTTCTGGACTTCATTGTCTCTCTATACTTGATTACTTTGACAATGCTATATAAATATATGTTATATTATAATGCTATATAATTATTAAAATAACTTAATAAGGTTGCCAGGAAGTTGAACTTAAAATTGGTCCCAGAATGTCATGGTCTCAGTGGGGGTGCAGCAGTTGAATTATTGGCTCAGAAAGGTGACCCCACTGCCTTCGAATTTCCACATATCAGGACACAGCATCGAGACTGCAACTTCTCCTTTGTTGGGATTAGAACATTTGTGGAGAGACTCACAGAGATGGAAGAAGAAAAATTTGGTAAGATTAAAAAAAAGGCAGTGACAAATGTTTTAACAGATTAAAATATTTGAAAAATTAAGAATTATGCTGTTTTTTTCCTGGTAACTTAATTGAAGAACATTTGAAGAGAAGCTATTTGAGAAAGATGGATGAAAGTTGTCCTGATTCATGAGCTGCCAGTTAACATAATAAAGACGATACAGAAGAGTGGATAATTTTTTGGAAACATTTGTTTTTGCTATGAATTATGATTAAGACAAAAAAAATCAATGGAGCAAGATATTCAGCCGGTCGAATGATATACTGGTATAAAAAATCATGGAATCATTTCCTTGTATTTTCCGTATTCAAGCTAAATTATGTTCAGCCACCATCAAGTAAGTGACATTTGAAGGTATTAAAACTGGATCATCTCACAGAACAGAGATTTTATTATAGTTCTCCCTTCTCTCTTTTAGGTATTAAAGATGGCGACATTCTGCCAAACGTTAGCGATGTATGTGCCAGCTTTCAATACTGTGTTCTCAGACAACTAGCAAAACGCCTCCAGGTGGCACTGCTATATTGCGAAATTAAATCCTTGTTGCCTGTGGAAAATAAAACGTTGGTATGTTTTTATGGGTAGTTTTATTTTTTCTTCTTCTTTATATGTTATATATTCAGAGTGACCCTGAGGAAATAACATGAGATATAGCATTTAAGGTTTTATGAAAAAAAAAAACTATGTTAAGTTGAAATTTCAGGTACATCAGCTGTGCCACATTTGTAAGAAAACGGGTCAAACTGATTACTTAGAAATTGCTAGCTTTGTGTTAGACTAAATTACAAATCATTTTATCAAAATACCTCTGTCAGCATTGCACATTTTCAATATAGCAGTTGTCACTCTGTGTTCATTTTAAGGGTAAAGGATTATTCTTCACTATTCAGATGTAACAGTTTATTTTTGTTAGTCTCTGCATTCATAGTCTCTGCATTTATGCAAAATCTTTAAATTTATTCATTATTTTATTTTATCATTTGATTATTATTATTATTTTTTATTTAACTGTGACTAATTGCCATTTCTTTCGTATTTCAGGTCTTGTCTGGAGGTGTAGCCAGTAACATGTTTATCCGACAGGGTCTTTCTAAACTATGCAGACAGCACAGCTGTCATGTGGTGTGTCCACCTCCCAGACTTTGTACAGATAATGGAGTGATGATAGCATGGTAAATCTCTCTCTCTCTCTCTCTCACACACACACACACACATGCACACACACACACACACACACACAAATGCACATCTATATTCTCTCTCTCTCTCTCACAACACAAATGCACCTCTATTCTCTCTTTCTTCTTCATACAAACTCGTATATAAATGGACCTTCCTTCTTATTTCTCTCTGTCTTCTTTGTCTGCTTCCCTTTGACTCAATCACTCACTATCTTTGGTAACAATAAACACTAATCCTGTATCACTGTGTCTAAAAAACTAAGTTCATTGTCAATAATTGTGTTGCTAGAGTAATACACACAAAGATCATTTTGATGACCGTTCATTTGAACTTTTATCTTTAATTTTTGAATGAAGATTTTAGATCTTTCTCTTTATATTTTAGGAATGGTGTAGAAAAATTTAGCAGAGGTCTAGGGGTAGTCAGTGACTTTGAATCGGTCCGCTTTCAACCAAAGTAGGTATACCCACATAAGTTATAGTAGTTATGAACAACATATTTGATTGGGGTAGATTGATTAATTTGTAACTTTAAAATTATAAAATGAAATCAGTTACAAAATTTATTAGTTTAAAACGATGACAGTTAATGATTTTAACCTCCAGATTGCCATATGAATGTAAGAAGTATATTTATTAAAATATTTCATAAAAAATATTATTTTTTTATTGCAGGTCACCACTTGGGGTAGATATGATCTCGGATGTACAGTCCTCATACATCAAACCAAACAAGGTTAATTTACTTGACTGACATGCTCAATTTTTCAGACCGCCAAAATGCCAAACCTAGCAAAAGTAACTCACTAGTTCTCCTTTTAAGTCATCGTACATTAAACCAAACAAGGTTAATTTACTTGACTGACATGCTGAATGAAAAATAAAAGGACAGTCTTGCTCAGAAAAACTTTCTACTGCTAGTGTCCAATTTAATTTTATGGTATTGTCACATCCAATAATGCTGTACTGGAGAGAGGGGGGAGAGATGTTCCTGACAACCCACGTAAATTGAGCAGTTTTTGGAAAATATTGAAATTGGAATGCTGTAACTGCTTATTTTTGCTGTATGTGTATATGTATATGTACATCTATTGGTTGGTTAAATTTATCCATCCATCTTGTTGGCACGTATATCGAATGATCATTAGATTAATTTATTAATTTCACATTCAGATAGTTGCAATTGCCATTGCAATAAAAGCTTTGTGATTGAAATACAGATATATCACTGTACATGTCTCTCTTTTTCATTCTTTTCCTCTCTCATGATAGGTTGCTGCTGACCACAGTGATAATAAAATCAGTTGAAATGATGGGTTGAAAAAAGTACCAAAAAGGTAATTTTGACCAGGTTCTTCTGTTTATAACGTAAAGACGAACGAACTGAATTGTCTCCTTAACTCGCAATACTTGTTAGAATAGTCTCATCAGGAATTCCTTTAAAATCTTGGTTCGGCGCAGACGTTAAAATCGGGACAGACGTAAAGTGAGCCTGTCTTGCCAACGCATTCCGGTAAAGCTTCGCCATCTGGTGGCCGAAATGAGAACGCCTGCAGCAGGGCCGTTAGCACAAGGAATATTTCTTGCCTGGCTAACACCTCGCCGGCACAGGAGCGCTTTCCTGGTGGAAAAAGAAGATAAAATAATTACAGAAATCGTTAACTGTCAATTGGAACAGATGCCAAAAATATTGTTTCAGGCGACTCTGCAGTGTATGCAACTTTTTAACATGGAAAGAAGAACGCTCTCTTTTCTCTCTCTCCCCCCCTCCACCCCCCGTGGTGGTGTTTGCGGTGGAACAAGGGGGGGGGGGCACTGTACAGATGCACTAAAATTTTTGTTTCTTGTTCTGTGAAGTTAAAAAAAATGTTCAAAGCAGTGTTGAAAGAAACAAACCTAAAAGAAAAAAAATGGTAATGGAAAGTGATGAAAGTTGCAAGGTGTTCGTTCCTGTTAACCTGAACGCAAAGAAATGCATAACACAAGATAAGTAACCACATTAAGGTCTGCAGGGGAGAGGGATTTCCCAATGAAATTAATTATTAATACTATCTTACCCACAGAAAATGGGATCCAAGCTGCGTTCTTCTTGACGTTCCCAAACTCGTCCAAAAACCTCGATGGGTCGAACTGCTGAGGATTCGGCCATTTCTCCTCGTCCATCATAATTGACCACTGGTTGGCCAAGACGGTCGTTCCTTCGGGAATGGTGTATCCCCGAAAATTTACCGTCCTCAGTGCCTTGTGTGGGACCGAAATCGGGGCAATGAAATTAAGGCGCTGCACCTCCATCAAAGCGGCGGTCGTATAGGGAAGACGTTGTTTATCAGCAAGCGTTGGACGCCTGGATTTCCCTACTTCTCGATCCAATTCGTCTTGTATTCTCTTGCAGACGGCGGGGTGGTGGAGAAGGAAGAGCATTCCCCAGGAAAGAGTCAGAGATACGGTGTCCGAGCCGGTGAAATACAGCGTGAGCAGGCTTGGTAGAAGATCGGCTTCTGTGAAAACATTCTGGCCGCCATTCTCCTTCTCAGAAATCTAAAACCAGTAATGGTTTTTTATCTATGACAAACGCTAAAAATTAATACAGCTCGATAGAAAACGAATACACCACAATTTTATGACGAAAAAAAATTATAAGGCTTTGTATTTTTTTATTAAATTTGAATTAGAATCACATCCAAGAGATATCAAGATACCAGAGGTACAGTTTCCATTCCAGGAAAGGTGAAAAAAATTAAATCCGCAGATATGTTTAATGAAAGATATTATACCTACCTTGTGAACGAACGCATCTATAAGGCCTCTAGTTCTATCTTTCCTGTAAGTAGTCTTGTGTTCGACCAACATTTCGTTTAGGATGTCTGAAAACTCACCCCATGCGACTTTTCTTTCGTCAACTGAGGGAATAAAGGATAAAAAAGGTAGAAATTGCCTGATGCTTAGCTGGCCGCTCAATAACATCGCTTTTTGGAAGACTTGCAGGAGACGCTTAAAGACGGGATCGTCGTATTCTTGGCGACTTCCAAACAGGACGGTGCCGATAACATTAGAGGTGGTCGCCTTCATCGGGAAGTTGAACTGGAACGGCTCACTACGTTGTTCTCGAATATACCGCAAGAGGGCGTCCACCTCGCCATTTACGTGTTTCTCATTGTTGGCGTGGGCAATGTATTGCATGGTGAAATTTTTTTGTGCTGTGAAGGCAGATCCGTATTCCAGAACTAAAAGACCTTAAAACGGAGGAAATATGTTTTTATTCTTTGAATGAATATGAATATTTTTAAGCTATTGAAATAGTTGTCGCAAATATCTAAATCTGGTATTAAGACTAGACAGCAAAGACTCAGTTTTTTTTTATATGAATAAACGAAAATTATATCATTTATACCAAGGTAAATGGTATTTTCAAATAGTAATTTTCAATACGGTCATATTATTGTTAGAAGGACATATGCATTCTGACTGTCTAAAGGGGAGACCTGGCATGCTGTATGATGTACAGACATTAAAAATAAATAAATAAATAAATAAATAAATAAATAAATAAATAGTGAAAGACTTGCTTTACCTCTATCATTCATGAAATCAAAAGTTGGAACATGGGGCCTTCCTGAAAAAAGCGCCGATTTCCGAGAAAAAGCGTCCCTGACTGCTTCGTAGCCTTGCAGCAAAATGACGGTTTCAGGACCCATTCGGACGCTGAACACCTTGCCGTACTTCTTCGCCCATTCCATCATGGTGATCTCTGGATGTTCACCGAGGAACGGCAACACTCCGACAAAAGGCAAACCCCATGGACCAGACGGGAAATTCTGACCATACTTGCCTTCTCTTAGGAACAGGTGAAAAATGAACGCTGTTCCCAAGATAATACATAAAGCTGTGGGAGATGTTAAGATCTCCCGTAGAATCCATTCGATCATTGCCATGTCACCGAGTAAGTGTCATCCGACCCTGGGAAGAAGTTAATCCCTCTTTCGACTGTTATCTAGCGATAAGCTAACCTCTTCTTCGTCAGGGTAGCAGGTCAAGAGGTCTGGCGTGATGTTAGTTTATCTTCGCTGTTTACCGAATTAAACCATTCATTAAGAATCGGAAAATATCAACTGAAAGCCGTAAACTTAGAGACTTGACATTTTTTAAATTTTGGAATATTTCAGTTTCAAAGGTATGCCTAGGTAAAAATGCTTTCTTAAAAAAAAAGAGAAAAAAATCTCATTTCTGACTGGAGAAGTGTGTAGTCAGGTGTGTCGCTACCAATTAACTGGCTAACATGTCTGTTGCACTGCTGCATTGTGTAATATGCAGTAGTGCTCCTTCGGGCTGGTCAAAGCTTGGCTTTGTTGAAGCATGGTTCTGTCAAAAAAGTAACCACATGTCGGCAACTACTGCATAGAACCTATGTCAACAAGATCGATGCAAGAACACTTTGAAATGCCTGGGTGCGAGCCTGATAGTCAACAATTTCCTTTTCCTTCTTTCAATTTATTCACTAATTAGTTGGATATAGAAAACACGTCGCATTTTTATAATCTACATCTCTCACAACTTTCAAAATGGTATTTTATTAACAAGATTAACAAGAAGCATACAAGCATATAATGAAGAGGACATTGAACATTTTATCAGAGGACTGAATCTCTAATAACCAAAATAAAAAAAGCATACTTTAAGCCGAAGATGGATTTAAACAATCTGCCTCGACTGGTTAAGGGGTTGGGGTGAGAAGTAAAAAAAATATATAAAGTGGGCCAATTTAGTTGCTTCAAGGAGTTTCAACAGACCTAAGTTGCTTCTACACGTGCTTCTGATGTTAGTAATAAGGACATTCATGAAGCCAAATATAACAACAAAATGAAGTTGGTTCTGCTTGCAAGGTTAGTCACGAGGCATTCCATCGGCTGTTTGGGCAGTTCCATTAAAATCTTGGCACGGCGCAGACGTGAAAATCGGGACAGACGTAAAGTGAGCCTGTTTTACCGACGCATTCTGGTAAAGCTTCGCCATCTGATGACCGAAACGAGAACGCCTGCAACATGGCCGTTAGCACAAGGAATATTTCTTGTCTGGCCAGCACTTCGCCGGGACAAGAGCGCTTTCCTGGTGAAAAAAAAAAACGATTAGATAAATCGAAATGGAGCTCTGGTAGACGAAAAATTCCGTTCTTGAAGATTGTAGAACCGAACTACCGGGAAAAGAAAAACGCTTTGTATGCGTTTCTTTTAGCACCCTGGGGTGGGGTGAGGGTGGCATAATTAAGTATACTACAAATATTCTCAAAGATTTTTGTTTTGGTCGTTGAAGGTAGTATTAAACTTTATTCAATATTATTCAACCATTGTACATATATTATAAAAAGGAGATTGTTTTGCCTTATGTGGTTTAAAAAAAGATGAAATAAAATTAAATAATACTGGGGAAAATAAAAAAAAAAGAAGAAAAGTTGAGAGTAATATGTAAAATAAGTTTTAATATAAATAACAGATGCTGCGGTTAGATAAAGGCTTTTTTAAAATCATTTAGTTCCTTTAAAAGTTAAAAGTTCATTAGCACGGTGTGTAGTAAAAACAAAAGATAAAAGCGGTGACTTTTTAAGCTGGTAATGAAAATTTATCAATTACAAAAGATAGGTAACCATGACTAAAAAATTAGAAAAGAATATTTTAAAATCAGCATTAAAAAACCACGCCATCTTACCCACAGAAAACGGAATCCAGGCCACGTTTTTCTTGACGTTCCCAAACTCGTCCAAAAACCTCGATGGGTCGAACTGGTGCGGATTCGGCCATTTCTCCTCGTCCATCATTATTGACCACTGATTGGCCAAGACGGTCGTTCCTTCGGGGATGGTGTATCCCCGAAAATTGACCGTTCTCCGCACTTTGTGCGGACCCGAAATCGGGGCAATGAAATTAAGGCGTTGTACCTCCATCAAAGCGGCGGTGGTGTATGGAAGATTTTGTCTATCAGCAAGCGTTGGACGCCGGGATTTCCCTACTTCTCGATCCAATTCGTCTTGTATTCTCTTACAGACGGCGGGGTGGTGGAGAAGGAAGAGCATTCCCCAGGCAAGCGTTAGATATACGGTATCCGAGCCGGCGAAATACAGCGTGAGCAGGCTTGGTAGAAGGTCGGCTTCTGTGAAAAGATTCTGGCCGCCATTCTCGTTTTCAATAATCTAAAACCAATAATAATTTTCATCAACAGCTAAAGTCTCAGAAGATACAATCAGAATTGTGATATATTTATTAAAGAAAGGTTGCCAGAGAAAATAGTACACGAGCAGCTTTATTATTGAGCAAGAGCGCATGTCTTAAATCAAATTCATGATAGGGAGTAGGATAGCAGAGGTTCAACTACTAGAAAAGTGAAATGCAAATCGGATGGATATATGAAGTTTATTTTTTAAAACCTACCTTGTGAATGAACGCATCTATAAACCCCCGAGTTGTCCCCTCTTTGTAAGTGGCTCTGTGCTCAACCAACATTTCGTTGAGGATGTCCGAAAACCCCCCCCATGCGGCTTTTCTTTCATCAACTGAGGGAATAAAAGATAAAAAAGGTAGAAATTGCCTGATGCTCAGCTGGCCGCTCAATAACATGGCTTTTTGGAAGACTTGCAGGAGACGCTTAAAGACGGGATCATCGTATTCTTGGCGACTTCCAAACAGGACAGTGCCGATAACATTAGAGGTGGTCGCCTTCATCGGGAAGTTGAACTGGAATGGCTCTCCACGTTGTTCTCGAATATACCGCAAGAGGGCGTCCACCTCACCATCTATGTGTTTCTCGTTGTTGGCATGGGCGATGTATTGCATTGTGAATTGCCTTTGTGCCGTGAAAGCAGGCCCGTAGTCCAAAACTACCAGACCTAAAGAAATGAAAAAAAAAAAAAAAAAATGCGGCAAGGTTATTATTTTTTTATTCTCTGAATATCTTAGATTACAAAAATAGTTGCTACAGATATCTGAATCTAGTCTTTAGACTTAGACAGTAATCACACAGGGTTCTTTTGTTTATTATGATATAAATAAAGCAAAATTATAATTTAAACCAATCATACAGCATTGGTCAAAAAGGTTGTCCCACCCCCATTTCCATGTACTTTTATTTACAAATGATCACCTAACAGCTGTTAATTGTTAGAAATAGTGTTTTTTATTACGTATACCGTGTCTAACATGATTAATGGTTTAAAAAATACAAAATAGTGGTGAAAATATACATATTTTATACCATTTAGTAAAATTTATAAGAGGTACCCCCTCAAATCGACTGTTTCACTGTGACTTCTAAAGATGTAAAGAAATGACTATAAAATTAAAAAAACGCCATCAAATG